GTCGCCTATCATGACGTCTCATATATTCTTCCGTCGATTTCTCCGCCATGTGAGCACCGCTTTACACACCGTAAAAGCGGCGCGTCGGCGGCCGCCATTGCCCGAGTCCGTCTTCTATTCCGCCGCCGTCTAAAAACGTGACCACGAGAACGGCGTTCTAGCGTTCCGCCATGCACGAGCCATCGTTCAATGCAAGCGTCTGTCAGCGCCTGCCGATGTTCGGTAAAAAGCGACCGGAAGGATTAAAACATCAAACAAAATAAATATGCAGTCCTTTCAGCTTTTATGTTCTGTTCTTTTATTTTTTTCCGCATCGCATATACGAGCAAAGAGGATGAGCGTCATGACGCACAATTAAAAAGTGACCTACAAATATTCGCTCTGGCATGCAGGTGCGCTGCAAAACTTGAGAACTACTTGCTTGTCGAAACGAAATTATTGGAGCGTACCCCGTACAAACTTGATACGAAGCGAACTGCCTCCAACAAAATGGCTCGCAAATTCCTTCCTGTGTAGGTATAGTCTCGGTATTAAAGCCATGGCCGCAATCACGACGGTTGCACAATTCACAGTGCAGCGGAGCCACTTTTACGGGAACCAAATTTTTTTTTTTTTTTTGGCATCAAGAATCAAGCCGAATTAAACAAAATAGTTGACGTAGGACGCAAGGTTTAGGCCAGTTCCGCAACGAAAACAAGCACCCGCGCATCGCTTTCAAAGGCGTGTACTTGCGTGAGTTGTTTCCTGCAAACTAGGTCGGTTGAGGACATCTTTCTCCCTCGGTGAACGCAAAACGACTCGCGTTCATAAAAATAGACGAGCTCAACAAGCTTCACTTCTTAAACACGCCGCGAACGCCGGCAGCCAGGTTTGTTATCGTTTTAAACCAGCGGAAAGGCAATATCGGTAAATTTTTGAAAACAATAATGACACTATATAGATTGTTTGGTTCTTATATATATATATATATATATATATATATATATATATATATATATATATAGAAAGAGAAAGAGAGAGAGAGAGAGAGATAATGGGTGATTTCATCTCAAATCGTGCAGGCAAAAAGGGTCGAATTTTCAATTTCGCCGAAAAAAAAAAAGTTATGGCGTTGTCTCTACAAACGCAGTAGCCACAAGCCGCAAGTTCGTCAGATTTTTCGTTCTCGACTTACGAATTTTAAAAGAGGCCGTGGCGGAAAGCAGTGTTTTTATATCCGTCGTGGGTCGGATGTTTCGCTCGATATCCCGCCGTAGATTTTCAATCCACATTATATTAACTTTTTTCAAGCACTCTGTGGGCACAGGTAAAAGGCTCTAATACGATGAAATAATTTTAGGCGTTTTGCTTTTTTTCTGTAAAAATGTCAAAAGCGGCCCCTCGGTTATTTGTTCACGAGCTTTGACAATTAAATACTGGCGATCTACTTGGGTTACATCAATATTTTTTATGTCTACGGAAAGCCCAAAACACGCTCTTTAGATATATTATAAAACGATTCCGTTGTATAAAATAATCTTTCCGGGACGTTTACGTTAATGTTATGCAAAAACCAAAAAGTACCAATTTTAAAATCGATTTCCTCAAAAAATCTTTTTTTTTTATTTTTTGTTAAAATGTAGATAGTATAGTTGTCTATCATATCTACAAATCTGCACGGTTCCTATACACGTATAGAAACCGTGCGGATCTAATTCAAGCCTCGAGCAGGGCGCCCTTAGTGGCAAACGGGTCCGTTGCTTCGGGGAGCTACTGCCAGTCGCGGCGTCGGTGGTGCTTTGTGGTGGTTGTAGCGGCTTAGCGCTGTAATTTCTGAGATGGCTTTTCCGCACCAAAAAAGCCACAACAACTGCTGCGTGGTCGGCTGCAACGGTACATACAAGGGCGCCCACGGCACGAAGTTCTACGGGTTCCCTTCGGAGCCGTACGAGGCGGAGTGCTGCGCGACCTGGGTGCGACCTGTGCGTCGAGGCAGGTAAGTGAGTCTCTTACCTTGCAGTTCGCGTTTTGCTTTAAGCTGCTGACGAATAATACATTTCCTTTTTTTTCTATTCTAGAGACGATGGAACGGCATGGAAACCTACGGCAAACTCTAATATATGCAGCAAATACTTCACCGGAATCGAGAAACTAAATGTCGTGGCCCGCCCAAGCCCACCCTTGATGTTTCCATCAGCCTACAGGAAGATAGTAGCGGGAATCGCGGAACGGCGCGAAAACAATCGCCCAGTTATTGTCAAGCTGATTGAGAAGGTAATAATTTCGCATAATTCGCGCAGTCCACCCAACGCCAAGTAAGAAAGCGCTCCTATCTAATTACGTGAAGCTTAACGTTTTTTTGAGGGTGCGCTCAATTTCATCTGGGGAGTACGGCGCGCCGTGACATCCACTTGTCCGTCGAAACGGACCTCCTTCACGTTGTACACGCGGCCAGATTCATGAAAGACTTTTTTCTTCGTCATATTGTCACCTCGGTAAAAGCTTCCTGAATTTGTAACCGCCTTAAACCCAGTCGTAATCACCACAGAAACACTTCGTTCTGCTGCTCGTCGCCATTGCTTGCCCCCGATGATTCTGCACGGCTACCGCTAGGTGGCGGCGAACAATCGGCGACCGCCGCGACGCGGCCCGCTCGCTTCCTATAGCCGGACTCCCCAACCTGGCGATGGCCGATCGAGAATTTCCGGTGTCCGCAATCATGGAGCGGAAAAGCAAGATCAAATCCTGAAAACTCCTCATAGAGATGAGTGCGAGCGACATGAAGTAGGAATGTGGGAACTGTTGATTGGGTGCTTTACTCCGTATCTCTTACTTATCTTTAGGGAGATTTAGACAAAAACGTGTTCGAGGGTTGTTCAGTCACCATTTTATTTCGTGCATTAAGTCACTTTAAAACGGTCTCTTGCGCGGAACGTCTGGACGGATGTCGAGGGAACCATTAGGAAGGTGCTCGTGGATCCATTCTTCACGGTTGTAGCAAGCGCCGTTGACGCAAAACTGCAAATAGAGTAGAACGCGTTAATGGCTGCACAAACAGGACGCGTTTTCTGGTGTGCACGGTAAAAAGAGCGTACAGGCTCCTCAAGAAACGTGAACGTTGCGGAGCGCGCGTTCGTTTTCGGCGAGGACATCAGCCGTGCACACAGAAAGGCTTCCTCGTCGCTGTCGTGCGTCGTCTGCTCACGGCGATAGACGGCCCGCACGGAGTGGCTGATCGCGGGACGCAGGCGAACACGACGCGGAGGAGTGAGAGAAACTGGAGTTCCAGAACGACTCAGTCTTTGACGTCACTGCACTGGCGTGAATCGCGCGGGAACTTCAAGTTTTACTTTTGGAAATTGTTTTTTTACTTTACAAATACTGAGTTCCCAAGTTTTGGGTTTTCAGCGGAATGTCGAGGCATATCATTTTCAATCGTTTCGGATAATAAGAAAAAATGATTTTGAACTGTCACTGCTAATTAAGGCCCGTTCACACACTTGCATTTGACTATGACCGACTGAGACATCACCGGTGTTTAAGCCTCTTGTGACGGTTTACGACCAGCTGTGCAGTCATGCAGCCGGTTGTAAGTCGTCACAAGAGGCTTAAAACCACCCTTGTCTCTATCGGTCTTAGTAAAACGCAAATGTGTCAACAGGCCTTTAATCTCTCCGGTCGTAACCAGTCGCAGGTGTGGGAACGCCTTAAAACCACTTTCTGCGATAGTCTATTTATGGTCATAACCTAAATTACATATGGTCCCTAAGCATCCTAAAAAATTAAGTTTTACATTCATGTGTGGCCGATTTATTTATTAAAATTGGTAACAACGATCGAATATATCGGAACTATCGCCGAAATCAAAAGGCACCGTCGCTCGAAGAAGGACAGGGCTCTGCCCTTCCTCAGACCTCGACCAACAGCGCCCTGTCCCTTGTGTCTCGACCTTTGATACCGATTGTAGTAAGGATATCAGCCAGGTTTGAATTTAATGTTTTTTTTTTGTTTTTTTTAAAGCCCGTAGACTAAATTTTGAACCTAACTAGACAATCGCGGTAAATGGCCTAGTACCCCTCCTCTTTTTTAATCTTGTCTGCCAAAAAGATTTCCGTCGAGAAAGAAGAGGGAAGAGTTCTGAAAAGGGACGCTTACCTGATTTTCGGTACCGCATCGAAGACCTTGTATTGATGCAGCTACACGCAATTTTCTATCCAGACTGTTCTTCCAGACACAGCAGGTTAACTCGCAATTGTACACTGGATTGAAGCGATGCATCCCAGTGATCTCGTGTTCCTTGATATCCAAAGAAAAACACGCGAAGAGTCGCATTACGCGGTCCAGTTTAGGACAGTGACAATGAAACACATAAAGAGGGCGTTTTAATTGCTATAAAAAAAAATTCCACAAGCTTGATTATGACGACAAAAACCAGGAAATACCGAATGTGTCTCGCATAAACCATAAACTTTTTTTTCTTTTTCAAAATTTCAACTAGTTTATTCATCGAACTAGTTTATTCGTCACAAGACGTCAATTTCTCACTCTATATTTAGCGAGGAGACCGGATTGCTGTTTAGGTCACGTGATGTAGATTATGACGCTAAATATAGCGAAGAAATTCGATTTATTTATTGGTCGATCGCTTGACATCAGATCACGTGACGTCCATTTTTCATTCCATATTTAGAGGGAAAAACTTTTTGGTTTAAAGATCCCGTGACGTGAAGTCACGACGTCAACTTCCCCAATAAATTTAACAGGGAAACTGCATAGTGTAACGTTGTCAGCGTGTCGATCTTTCGTTACAATTTTTTTGTAGGAAACGACCCATAAAACGCATTCTGCGTTAACAGGAGGCTGCGAAATCTCAATTCTTGAATAAAACTTTAGAAGCGACTTAGACAAAGTAGATCGGGTGTGTTGAGGGTCTATGATATGCAGCATGTTAGACAAAATCCGGATTTTAAAAACAAGTCGGATCAGCGCCTCACATGGAATTGATTGATTCATTCGTTGATTGATTAATTGAGTGATTGATTGATTGATACGTATCTGAAACACCGTTGCTGTTGTCAGTATCAGTCTGACGTAAATCAACAGCAAAGGGGGGGGGGGGGCGGAACTAACGTCGTTGTGGGATTGCGCCAAGTAGTTTCGTACTTTTGTTGTGATTGTCGAGCATGTCCGCGTCCTTTTTCGCTACGTGTCATTTGTTTCTAAATACAAGCCAACGTTTCGACTGGAGCACTCGGGCCGACTTACAACGTAAATTACAACGTGGTCGATTTCGTTAAACACTATTTGTCTTGCGATACACGCTGATATACGGTGTCGATTTCAGAATTGCTGTGCATTTCATCAGCGCTTCAGTTTTGAGGTCACTGATACGTAAACTCTTCTGGTGCTAAAAAATCATAGCGCGGGAGTGATATACCGAAATAGAAGGACGCACACGCAACGGCACGAAACCAAATTCCATATGAATCGGGTTCAGTTACAGCTGGTCCTAAGGAGGGGGGTCAGTAGCGCACCAGAGCTCGGACCACGTATAGCGAAAGCTCGCGCTGCAGGATTGGTATGCTAAGCTATATCCTGAACCTTGCTCGCTTACGACGTTAAGCGCGCTTACCAACCGGCATACGGAAACAAAGGGGAGTCCCGGTTCCCTCTGCCTCACTTCTGCGCCCACCTGTTGCACACCGTGTTCTTGGCTCGTTTTGATTAGTAACTCTTAGTTGCCAAATTTCGCAAAAATCTTAAGGGGGGCAAGCAAAAATGCGAACTCACTGAAGGTACCGATATTACACCACACGCGTGAAGGACGCTATCTTTGTTTTGCAGACAACTAGAAAACCTGCGACAAACTTAAATCTGAAAACCCCAGAGGAGCTAAAAACAATAAATGCTACAAGTTTCGCATATCCTGACCAATATTATAGTAACATTCTGAAATCCAAGCTAAAAAGAAATTTTATCAGGACTGCGCTTGATGTCATCGTTACTGGGATCCCCAACCAACCCGCCCCAAAGCGAAGAACGTGCTAAAGTTCGCCGCGAAGCGGCGACTAATGCTGAGTCAAGCCGATTCGAGTCAAGCCGATTCGAGTCAAGCCGATTCGAGTCAAGCCGATTCGAGTCGAGTCGAGTCGAAGCGAGTCGAGTCGAAGCGAGTCGAGTCGAAGCGAGTCGAGTCGAAGCGAGTCGAGTCGAATCGAGTCGAGTCGAAGCGAGTCGAGTCGAAGCGAGTCGAGTCGAAGCGAGTCGAGTCGAAGCGAGTCGAATCGAATCGAGTCGAGTCGAAGCGGGTCGAGTCGAAGCGGGTCGAGTCGAAGCGGGTCGAGTCGAAGCGGGTCGAGTCGAAGCGAGTCGAGTCGAAGCGAGTCGAGTCGAAGCGGGTCGAGTCGAAGCGGGTCGAGTCGAAGCGAGTCGAGTCGAAGCGAGTCGAGTCGAAGCGAGTCGAGTCGAATCGAGTCGAGTCGAATCGAGTCGAGTCGAATCGAGTCGAATCCAGTCGAGTCGAAGCGAGTCGAGTCGAATCGAGTCGAGTCGAATCGAGTCGAGTCGAAGCGAGTCGAGTCGAAGCGAGTCGAGTCGAAGCGAGTCGAGTCGAATCGAGTCGAATCCAGTCGAGTCGAAGCGAGTCGAGTCGAAGCGAGTCGAGTCGAAGCGAGTCGAGTCGAAGCGGGTCGAGTCGAAGCGAGTCGAAGCGAGTCGAGTCGAAGCGAGTCGAGTCGAAGCGAGTCGAGTCGAAGCGGGTCGAGTCGAAGCGGGTCGAGTCGAAGCGGGTCGAGTCGAAGCAGGTCGAAACGAGTCGAGTCGAAAGTCGAAACGACTCGACTCGCTTCGACTTGACTCGCTTCGACTCGACTCACTTCGACTCGACTCAACTCGAATCGGCTTGACTCGAATCGGCTTGACTCGAATCGGCTTGACTCGACATTAGTCGCCGCTTCGCGGCGAACTTTAGCACGTTCTTCGCTTTGGGGCGGGTTGGTTGGGGATCCCAGTAACGATGACATCAAGCGCAGTCCTGATAAAATTTCTTTTTAGCTTGGATTTCAGAATGTTACTATAATATTGGTCAGGATATGCGAAACTTGTAGCATTTATTGTTTTTAGCTCCTCTGGGGTTTTCAGATTTAAGTTTGTCGCAGGTTTTCTAGTTGTCTGCAAAACAAAGATAGCGTCCTTCACGCGTGTGGTGTAATATCGGTACCTTCAGTGAGTTCGCATTTTTGCTTGCCCCCCTTAAGATTTTTGCGAAATTTGGCAACTAAGAGTTACTAATTAAAACGAGCCAAGAACACGGTGTGCAACAGGTGGGCGCAGAAGTGAGGCAGAGGGAACCGGGACTCCCCTTTGTTTCCGTATGCCGGTTGGTAAGCGCGCTTAACGTCGTAAGCGAGCAAGGTTCAGGATATAGCTTAGCATACCAATCCTGCAGCGCGAGCTTTCGCTATACGTGGTCCGAGCTCTGGTGCGCTACTGACCCCCCTCCTTAGGACCAGCTGTAACTGAACCCGATTCATATGGAATTTGGTTTCGTGCCGTTGCGTGTGCGTCCTTCTATTTCGGTATATCACTCCCGCGCTATGATTTTTTAGCACCAGAAGAGTTTACGTATCAGTGACCTCAAAACTGAAGCGCTGATGAAATGCACAGCAATTCTGAAATCGACACCGTATATCAGCGTGTATCGCAAGACAAATAGTGTTTAACGAAATCGACCACGTTGTAATTTACGTTGTAAGTCGGCCCGAGTGCTCCAGTCGAAACGTTGGCTTGTATTTAGAAACAAATGACACGTAGCGAAAAAGGACGCGGACATGATCGACAATCACAACAAAAGTACGAAACTACTTGGCGCAATCCCACAACGACGTTAGTTCCGCCCCCCCCTTTGCTGTTGATTTACGTCAGACTGATACTGACAACAGCAACGGTGTTTCAGATACGTATCAATCAATCAATCACTCAATTAATCAATCAACGAATGAATCAATCAATTCCATGTGAGGCGCTGATCCGACTTGTTTTTAAAATCCGGATTTTGTCTAACATGCTGCATATCATAAACCCTCAACACACCCGATCTACTTTGTCTAAGTCGCTTCTAAGTCTAAGTCGAAGTGAGTCGAGTCGAATCGAGTCGAGTCGAATCGAGTCGAGTCGAATCGAGTCGAGTCGAATCGAGTCGAGTCGAAGCGAGTCGAGTCGAAGCGAGTCGAGTCGAAGCGAGTCGAGTCGCAGCGAGTCGAGTCGCAGCGAGTCGAGTCGCAGCGAGTCGAGTCGAAGCGAGTCAAGTCGAAGCGGGTCGAGTGGAAGCGGGTCGAGTCGAAGCGGGTCGAGTCGAAGCGGGTCGAGTCGAAGCGGGTCGAGTCGAAGCGGGTCGAGTCGAAGCGGGTCGAGTCGAAGCGGGTCGAGTCGAAGCGAGTCGAGTCGAAGCGAGTCAAGTCGAAGCGAGTCGAGTCGAAGCGAGTCGAGTCGACTGGCTTCAAGTCGACTCGATGCGCTTATCAACAATCAATCCGTCGACTAATATTTGAATTCGCGTTCGTGGCCAATGAGTGCTCTGGCGGAACTTGTCGTCACTTTAGAATGACAAGTTTTATGGTGTGCTTAGAAAGCACACCAGAACGCAGGCTAGGTTGTTTCGGTCCCTTGGTCGTGCCGTATAGCATAGGGCCCTTGGAGTAATCGGCTCTTGTTCCCAAACACGTCACGACCACCTGATCTCTCATTTCGCTTTTGAGTTGAGGATTAAAGCTAGAGGATTAAAGTTGAAAAATCATTTCGTGTTCCGTTTAAGGGGGACGGTGGAAGCTTGGAGCAATCATACCGGTTCTCAAGCATTTTACGGCCGCGTGATTTCTCATTTCGCTTTTGAGTTGAGGAGAAAGGCTAAGGAGGAAGAAGTGGAAAAATAATTTCATGGCCCCTTTCAAGCCCCTTTTGATCAAATTCGGGTTTAGCAAATACACCAACGAGCTTTAAAGACTGGCGCACTGGTGATATCTAGCCGGTATACTCCGTTCACCCTGAAGCTAAGTTTGCAGCCAATGTCACAAGCACGAGAGCACGAGGTTGCTTTTTTGAAACGTTCCAGCGCAGAAGGAGCACTCGCGCTAGAATTGCACGTTTCAAAGTGCGGGCGAGCTCGCGCTTGTAGCTTTGGCTGCAGTCTCAGCCTAAGAGTGAACAATGTATAACACTGTAACTTTCAATCTCCGTATATATATACTAGGCATTATTGTTTCACCGCCCTTAAGTATGGCGTTCAGTGAATACCCTCCTTAGGGGAACTCCAAGGCTACTGAGACGCGCTCCAAGAGGACTCTGTACGGTCGATCGCGTGGCAGCGTTCGCCGTGCTGTGTGTCCTCACCTATACATCTTAAACCATGGTACGATTATAGTCATATCGAATGCGTTCCAGCGGCACCCGGTAGAGGGCGCTAATGCGTAAATGCAGCTTTTTTTAAATTTTTTTAAAAGTTGTTTGAAGCGAGCAAACAACACTCAATCTCATTCACATGCAAATGTGTGAACTAGCCCCCGATGAGAACCGTATATGAAAGTAAAAGCGGTCACCAAAGGTAAGATACACTTACAAAACAGTGTTCCATCCTCGGTATGAAGTAATATATTGCTTTACAGAGTTTCGGCAAATCGACGACGTCGCCAGGCAAGCTCGTGACTTGGGGAACCTCCTGTCCTCTTGGTCGAAAGCACTCTTGGGGCATGCGGCTTTGAAACAAAGAAAAAATGAGTGTCAACGTAAACGTAAGCGTAAATCGCTAGATTATGGCTGACTTCGAAAAAGTGCAAGGCCAGCTTTTTTCTTTCTTTTCTTGAAAATCCGCGAACCAAAAATGACCGACAGCGCAGTGTCTACATTGAACAAACCACTTGTTCAATTCAATAAAAACATTTTTATATGGTTGTATTTCGAACTGAGTCACAATTCAGATAACTCGAATAAAGTATGTGCATTCTCTGTGGTACAGTTTAATAGGATAGGTAACGGATCTCTTGTTCGTCAACGCAGTTTGTCACACCGCACTCATACGCCATCGAATTCGTATCTTGCGCTTATGATTATATATGTGCGGTAAAAAACTAAGCTTTTGGTTTGTAGAAACACGCTGGGATTCTCTCTCGGCTACAGTTCGCATTTCCGAAATGTGACCTACCCCCTCCCCCCCCCCCCCCCCCCCCTTTAAAAAGATATGTGTTTTTTTAGGCAAAAATAAACTGCGCGTTGACGCTGTGTAGCCACCAGAAGGACTTACGTCCGACGAGTTGTGCTTTTCCTTTTGTGGTGCGCTTTCGTAAAAATTTACGCCAGTTCTCAAATTCGGTTACGACCGTATACACAAGCTTTTCAAAAACTCCTTAGGCGAATGAGGGCGAACGAGCAGAAAACGAGTCTTCCAGCACGCAGCCTCGCGGCTTCCGCTACGCTTCACCCGGCTGACTTTACCCAGGCCCAAGATGGCCGATTCGGAACTTCCGGTGGCCGCATTCGCACAGCGGCGGCCGGAACCTCCAAAGAAACCGTTGCTAGGGCCGTTGTTGTGGACAAATGCACGGGGGCTCAACTCGAGGTAACGATTTGTCTTATTAAAAGATTATACATTTTGTAAGCATCGTATTTTTTAATGGATGATCGGGAAGACTTTTCTATGGTCTGGTGGCTCATAGGGATTCATAAAACTCCGCAATCAAGGTTTACAACCGGTTTTGCCCTGTTAGAAGACGATACGGCGGCTTCGCGGGTCCCATGGTCCTCCTGACAGAGCACGCGACTGCGCAGAATTAAGTTAGGGACGAGTGACTAAACTTCTACTCGACGCTCGAGGTATGCCAGCTCGCGAACGCCTGCCCGTAGAGGCTTCCGCAATGTCTGAGAAGGGAGAAAACACTACGAAGCAGAATCACGTCATGATGACAAGTCTCCCGGACAAGGGGGGGCACAGGGGTTTTAAAGGTGTCATAAAACGATTTTTCAACTTTTTCCTGTTTAGCTTTCCTCCTCAACTCGTAAATCGGGTTTTAAAGGTGTCATAAAACGATTTTTCAACTTTTTCCTGTTTAGCTTTCCTCCTCAACTCGTAAATCGCGCATTCTACCAAACAGTTCAAGAAGACGAAAAGAGGGGAGTCCCCTCTTGCTCGGAATCTGGTTTGTGTAGCCGGACAGAGCCATTGTCCCCCTAGAAGATCATCCCGTTGCTCAAAATTCAGACGAGAGTTGCTTTCCCCAACACCTTCACTCCGGAGCTGACAGTGCGGTGGAAGCTACGTGCTCGTTGGGCCAGCCACACGTTTGCCACGTGATCACGCTCCCTCGCCCATACCGACGCGCAGAGAATGAGGTCAGGCGATGAGAGGGAGGTGGCTGATTGGTCCGGCAAGCACTTAGCTTCCACCGCAATGTCAGTTTAGGAGTGAAAGAATCAAGTCCAGTGTCGTGTGGGACGTGTGTTTGGACCCGGTGACGCGCTTTGGGGACCGCGGATGTATCACAGTGAAAAGGCAGAGAGCTTACGAAGGGAAGGAGGTACGAAATAGTCCGCTGTGTTTTCAAATTTTCGGACCAAAAGTCAGGCTTTTGACTTTCTACCTTTTTTTTTTTTGGCCCACTAAACGATGTGATATTAGTATAATTCCTATCTAAATTGATTTATCTCAACCCAAAATTCGTTTCATGGGCTCTTTAAACACCGAGGCCCGAGCAAGAATGATCGGCCAAAAGAGGCTCTTCCACGTAGCAATGTCAAATTTTTCGTTTAAGGTGTATTTCATACGCGCCGTTTAACCTTGTGATATTGCAAAGCGTACCTCCCTTTTTGTAAACAAATAGGGACAAACACTTGCCAGGGTCAATGGCGGGTAGGGACGCAAACGTTCCTGTCGAGTGGTGGGGCGCGTTCCGCGCACGTATTGATTGACAGCGCTATTTCTTTATCGACACTGCTCGCGATGACCGTGGTCAATTAAAAGTAACATAATGTTTTTGTAACGTACCTTTGGTTTAAAAACAAATACGTACAATGATAAAAAAACTTAAAGTAGCAAGAATAAGAGAAAACGTGGTTGCATATCGACTGCGCTCTTGCTGCCCAGTGCCGACGAATCTCGTTTTCGGGTCGCTTCTCTTTTTCGCTGGTCGGCCACACCTCCTGTCTCTGCTTCCGGCACCATCTACCAATACGGGCGCCAAACGCCCCCCGTCACTCAACTCGATCATCTGCGTTGCCGTCCACCGTTGGCCCTGGAAGATTTTTTGGCCCTATTTTCTACAGAAAGAGAGCTACGCTTCGTTTTTTTAACAAGGTAAAGCCCACCTGTGAAATACACCTTTGACAATAAGTTTAGATTGTTACGTACAGGCGCCGATTTTTCCGGCGCATTTTAGTTCCAGACCCGGTATTTCAGCCACCCTATAGATATCAACACCGGAGTGCAGACCAGCACGGGTTTTAAAAGGTTATGACGCCCCAGAAAAGTTGCTAAAGTGCACATTTGTGCTGACAACCAAAATGTCCGTAACACCTATATACTCCTGATGTTTTGTACCCAAAAGAGAAATTCAGCAAAAATGTTTTGTCACCTTGATAGGTTACAAGACGAAACATTACGAGCCTGTAAACGAAATTCGGGGTCTCCAATTGATCATGTAAGGGCCAAAATGTTTGCTCCTTCATTATATTCCATGTTAACTACAAAATCGAAAAGAGAGCCTTACGCTGCTTTGATATCATGTACTGAACAGATATACCTGTCCCGTCGTATATTTAGCAGATCTCCATACGTGGAATGATTTTTGACAGACTGTTTTCTGTGTCGCACGCAAATACAAATTGTTTTACAAACCTGACGGGTTTTCTTCGACCTGCTATGCATTTAATAAATATGAAATCAAATTCGTATCATTCTACAAACGATTTAAACTTTTGCAAATGACAAACAATTAATTTATTCCGGATGCATTCGTCGTCTTCCGCAAGCATATCGTGACGTCTGAAGCTTCTGTCGTAGTAAGGGGTATTCACACGAAGAAGAAATCCCGGGGATTTCTCCCCGGCACGCGCATCCCACGACGAAAACGTCAGGCTTTGCGATGTGCAAAAGCCTCGCGCTTTCATATCGTGATGCGCGCGTGCCGGGGAGAAATCCCCGGGATTTCCCCCTCGTGTGAATACCCCTGTATGAGAGCTAGGATTCCTATACCTATAACTTTTTTTACGTTTCATTCCCACGTGAGATTTTTGAAAGATCGTTCTTTCAAAGATCCAATCCGATGTATTCGTCCATAGCAACGCCCCTAGCAACGGTTTGTTTGGAGTAGAGTTCCTGTATAAGCTCCCTACGGGAGCCACAGTTGCGCGTTCATCTCCGTAGCGCCGTCTTTCCTGCACGTCATGTTGATCCCGCTCGTCACGTGACTGAATTCAGCGAATAGCGGCGCCGCGAGTTCGAGGCGCGAGGCGCGCTCAAGAGGGGAACGCAGAGCCGTGGAGAGTTTGGCCATACATTGGTTTGAAGAGGCGAGCAATTTGGGGCCAACCACAGGCCGCGAAACAGCCCCTAGCGGTGGACGTGTGCTCTAAATATGTGACACGACTAATTTGAGCCGTTTTAGCGTCGCTAGAGTGAAAAGGTTTAGCTCTCGGTGACTGAAAACTTTGAGCGTGTGAGGTTTTCGTCACGCCAATATTCAAGTGTGGAATAAACGAACGTGCGCTCCAAACCAGTGCCGACTTGCTAGAAACAGCGTCTCAGCTGAGACGAGGAAAGAAAGGACTGCCAGAGCCAGCTCACGAACGGAGCGGGACTCCGCGTCTCAAGACGCTCGCGCGCCCCACAATTTGCCCTGTTTTCTTTCAGCCAGTCTTAGGACGCTGTTCTAGCAAACCGGCCCAGAGCGAACAAACATCAGCAGTGCAGACAAAGGCATGGGCACGAGCGCGTGGCCTTGGAAAGTGCCTCCTATGCACGAGCTCTTGTACAAAGAAAAGCATTTCACTGAGCTAGGCTCGCCTGTGCCTTTGTCTTTACTGCAGACATTTATGAGCTGGAGTAGAGAGCACTGATCTCTATTGTAGTAGGCTGGATCGCGGATCGCGGCCTCGGCAGCTGGGGCCGAGTGTCGCCACCGGCGGCCATTGATTGACACCAGCCAATGCATGGGCCCCTATGGGAAGAACGAGAAAAAGTGACGTTTTCCCCTGTTTCTAAGCTGCTGTCGGCACTGAAACTTTTTAAATGCTTTTCGATAAGCCCGTCAAATAGCTTGCGTACAAACATTAAAACTGACAGCCCTCGCAGTTCTTATAAATAAATATTTTGTGGTCGAGAGTGACTCCGCTGTAGTGCAGCTCAACGAGGCGAGAGTTACCTAGAATTACCGCGGAGTCGGTGGCGGTTTCGTTGAGCTGGGTTTAGCAGACGACAGACTCGAAGGCTTTGCTGCGCAGAATTCGCTCACTCCCGGAAAGCCGCTGTCGAGATGGAACTCCTTTGTCATTCATCAACTTCTGGGCTTCCCTAAGGACGGTCTAATTGACGGCAAGTCCCTTTGTTTACTCCACTACGAGAGCAAGCTTGCCAGCTCAGCCATGTGCTCCGGTACGTTTGATTTTTTTCCTTCGGCGACCGGACGTTTGACAAATACCGATTCGATCTCCAAACACTCGACATAAGGATTGCACCGCACCATACAATACTCGCCTCTCAGCACAGCGTACGTGCTTCAATATTCTTCCTTTTGTGCGTTTCTCCCATAGACTTGCGTGTATTGCCTGGTGTCAAGCAATGGCTGCCGGTGGCGACACCGACGGGGTCCCGATCCGCGATCCAGCCTACTAAAATAGAGATCAGTGGTAGAGAGGCCCCGATTGAACGCTTCTATTTCACGCTTTGAATGTCGTTTGAAATATTGTGACGTCGCGGTCTCCTTATTGGTCGACGCTATGTCGTACCTTTAGTTTGCGCTCTAACCGCGGGGGGAGTTTTCGGCGCTGGCGGTGGCCTTTGCTCCGCCCATTGTCCAAACTCTCTTAATATACGGCGCTGGGGGAACGTAGGGCGGGGCGTGTGCAACGTCTACTCTCCTGCACGGCACTTGATCCGGCTCCTCACGTGTTCGGATCTCGGCGAATAGTGGACCGGCGGCACGTGGAAAACAGACACGCAACTCTGCCGTAGGGAGCCTATACAGGAACACCTAGTTTGAAGCAGGGACGTCAAACGTGCATTGGCAATTCTTATAGGGATCGATCTGCGAGGAGAACCGTTCTTGAACGACGCTGTTTCGTGGAGCTTGTCAATATATATATATATATATAAACGTTGCGGGTGAATAGCGTTCCAAGAGCCACCAACGACAAGGCCTCTATGGGCAGCGAAGAGAGACCGTTCTAAAACGATGCTCTTTCTGCACAAACGTTTACGCAAGCGTTATGCTTACTAAAGACGAAAAAAGCGTAAAATCACTTTCCTTCTCAGGCAATGGGAATCCAACGTTCCACCGCTTCTGCCTAATAGGCGGGCTGACAGCGTAACGAATGCCACCAAGCGGACGCGCCCACGAAAAGGCGTCACAATAAGCTTGTCAAGTGACTTTGATCTTGGTCAAGGTGGCTGCAGACCACACCCTGTTGTGCCGGTGCATGTGCACCACCATCCGAGCAGGTGAATTTCCGCGCCGTAACCATACTCCGTCTCACTAAAACTGTGCAGTACAGCCAAAGCTGCAGCAAAGTGGAAATTTGAGCAAGTTGGTTCATAGTCAAATATATATTTAAAAATACGACAAAAACAACAGGGATAAAGAAGAGTGGGAACAACACCAGGCGGCTTTTGTTGTTTCCACTCTTCTTTGTCCCTGGAGTTTGCGGCGCATTTTTATATACATATTTGACAGCCAAATCTACAGAGGAGAGAGCGTATGCCAACCTGTTCAAAAGGAGGGAAAGGAGAAATAGCAGAAAAGGGCTGGGACAGAGCCGTGTATAGAGAGAGTTTGATCAATGGGAGGCGCGGGCAGAACCAGGGCGTGCACCAGACTCGGAAAGAGGGCTTGGCATGCTCTCTTGACCAACCAGAAGCCGAAAAGAATCCCCTAGCGGTGGTAGCGAGAAACAGTTATGATCAAAGGTATATTGTGTTAATAAGCGCGTAAGAGTGAAGTGTAGTAACTCTTCGCGGTTGAAAATAGGGTGCCCGTCATGTTTCGGTCATGATCGTGCAGAAAGATGTAAGAAACGAATGCGCCACTCAACCCTGTTTTGCTTGGACAGAGTGAGATTGCTCGGACGGCAGATTCCCGGCCCTCGGCGCTTGGCTTAAGGATTATGTCAATCGTTTGCTAGTCGCACTCTTCCACCATCATTTTGGATGAGCGTGATTGAAACATCACGTGTACCATATTTTCAGTCAGCGAGAGTTACTCCGATGCAGTTATCAGGTTTGTTTCTCGCGACCACCGCCAGGGTGTTATTTCCGGCTTCTGGTTGGTCACATTTGAATTTCTGAAGACGCCCTGGAACACGCCCAGCCCGCTTTCGGCCAATGGCGCCTCCTCATTTGTCTCCTATACTTCCCAACGAATGGCCAAACCCTGGGCTGCGATGCCCCCGTTCCTCCTCTCCCTACTCTTCAGCTGGTCGGGATACACTCTCTCCCCTGTAGCTTCGGCTGTGCTGCACGGTTTTAGTGAGACGGAGTATAGAAATCGGAAATGCTGTAGTGAATCCGTAGAACGCAATTTCAGTTACGGCGCTCTGAGGACGCTCGTCGTTCGTAGTGGAAAATGTACGAATGAGGCACCGAAGCGGAATCAAAAGCGGAATCAAAATTGTCGTAAAAATGTTCAAAATCGTGTCCAGGAGGCAATGCGGAACGACACGCCGGAACTTGTCCCTTTGAGGATGTTCCGCTTTTCTGCTAAAAAAGGGGAAGGGCACATTGGGTCATATTTCGATGACCCCCGTTTTATTTTTATTCCCCCATCAACAATTGGGTAACATAATTACAAAATTGTGTCTTACGCAAGTGAAGCGCTAAGCTTCTCCAAACTGCATTCGGGTGATTCTCTTTTGCTAGTCACGCATTTTTTTAGCGAACCCTCCTGCAAATCCACAGACATCCTGAAAAGTTTTAAAACACAATTTTAATTTATAAATCGAATACTATAACTTGGAAATAACATGTTTGAGCAACGTCTCTGACACTTTACTAAAATTAGATGGATGTCACAAAGTATATATAGTATATATATATATATATATATATATATATATATATATATATATATATATATATATATATATACATGGCTCGCAGTGACGTCACACCGGCAGCCATTGTGGTGGGCTTGCTGCTGAGCGCGCACCTTCGGCAGTGTACATTTTACATCACAATATTTGTTGTTGTTATTGTTTTTCTCGGACAGAAGAACCCAGGATTTCGCACCAGCAGGGCGCGATGTCACGTCCAAATCATGAATTGGCGATGAACTCGTGCAATTTGAGCGCCGAGTTCAATGGAAACTCTTCCCACCTCTTTCCACTTCAGCAGAGCGAACCCTGGAGAGGAAGTGACCTCCTCTCCAGCATTTGCAAACAGCCGACCTGCTCACCGACATGTCTCTGTTCGCGCAAGCAAGCACGTAATTTTGCGAGCCTCGATAAGTCGCCTTCGTGCGCATAGTGAACGCTAAGGATTTAAAATTGACATATTGCTAATTACCCAAGCATTAAGGAGAGTGCAGAGATTGGTGTTTTACGCCCCATACGTGCACGCCTACGCCGTATAAAAGATTCGAAGTAAATAACCAAAATAAAGCGTTGACGAACGCGAGTGCAAGATACAATTTCTTTTAGGTTTTTTTCTTTGCAAAAGTTACTATAGGGAGTATTCACTGGCGGCAATATCCGTGTGCGCTGCTGCTGAGCGCGTGCTGACGGCGAGCTTCCGCAGTCCTTTTGGAGCGTGCATTTAGCACCATCAAGGCTGCCGGTTTTAGCAGGCTAGTAATGTGAGCTCGTTCTGAGCATGCGCTCTAAACATAGCCCTCAATTATGGCGTCCATGTGAATACCTCCTGTACTGCTGAGGCCAGCACGTGCACCGCGTGGAATTTCTATTCCTGCATTCTTCTTGATGCTTGGGTAATTTAGCAATAGGTCTATTCTGTCAATGTTTTTTTTCCATACCAGGCTTATATGAACTTTGGCATCCAACTCCTGAACTATAGGCCTCCTGCGCTGAAGCTTTGAACAAACTGTAGCGCCCTCATTTTGGGTAGTACAAGCTCACCTTATTAAGCCTCGCACAACTTATGGCACGTTGGTTGAGCTTTTTTTTTATTTCTGTCTGGTGCTGAAGAACGAAAAAACACCTTTGGACGCCAGAAATCGGCCAAACTCAACGTTGCAAGACAATCGAAAGTGCCAAATTCATGACACCACCGCTAGGGCACGCGTCTCTTATCTCTGGGTGCTGACGTCAGAACGCCTGTGTCGCGGCGCTTTCATTTTTTTTCCTTTTTTTTTTCATGCCTACTTTGGAACGCGTAAAACGGCATCTCTTGGCTCACGCGTCTTAGCGCCTTAGCTTTGGCGGCGTTCGAATTATTGTTGTTTCTTTGTATTTTCATCGAGACCTCGCGCTCCGCACCAGAGAAGGCACGCTTCTGCACGCGTGCCAGTTTGAGACGCTAAAATATGTACTACCCAAAACAAGTGTTAACAAGTCCCTTCTCGCAGCACCCCCTGGGCAACGCGGGAGGCCCATTGTAAAATTATTCAAGCATCCACGAGACAGTAGGGAATAGAGAATGTAGTCCTGCGCGCCACACGTGCTGACGTCTGCAGCAGTAATTGTTCTAAAGTAAAAGCCTAAAGCATTGGCATCTCGCACGCGCGTTCGTCGATTGGTTATTTACTTCGAATTGTTTTTTTATACAAAGAAGCCGAGCGCTTGCTGCGCGTAGACGTATTCATTCCCTGCCGTTTTTTGTTTTTTTTATTCGTGGGTAACTTAGCTATAGGCCTATTGCCGATACCGTTTGAATTTAACAACCAAGGGCTTTCCGTGTAATTTGAGCCCTGGACACTTATGAAGTTTCTTAGTTTTTTTTCCCCTCGATGGCGTGACAAGAAAGTCTGGCATTTTATAGAGTTTGTAATATAAAAATGTTTTTAACATAGACGTTACTTGTTTTTCGTTTGCAGCTATTTATATCTTTAAAAAAAAATTAAAATCACAATATTTTTTTTATTTCTTTCTACAAAGCTTGTGTACTGTTGCACGAAAAACCTATCACACATTTTGAGTATATCAAGAACACATGGAAGGGAGTATAGACAGAAAAGGGTGCCTCTGTCTGCCTAGTTCATTGTGCCTGTTGTTGTGGTTGCTTTTTTTTGCGCTTACCTACATGATTACACAAAATAGTTTTGAGATCTTTTAATCTGAACGTGCATCGAGCTTATATAAATTGTTATACTCTGTTTCATCTCAAAGCACTACGAACGCATACGAGTCAGCGTGGCCTATCAAGCTTCTAGAAAACACTAGATCAAGGGCGATATGCGTACTCGTGTTCGTTATCGCCCAACTGATCCAATCAAGCGCCAAAAACACCTTACGAAAGCGCGTTTTGATTTGTCCGTTCGTGCTTGCGTTGCAACCAACTTTTAACTCTTCAAAAATAAAACGAGCTAGAGGTGAATGTGAGCGTATTTTTTCCGTAAATTTAAATACCACAAGCATATGACCCGGACATATCAATAGAAGCGAAAAAAAACAACGAAAAACCAACCGCTGGGTGGGACGTCATACCCCGGGGTTTCACCTGCCTTGCGCGTGCAGCTTGTGAGGGAACGCGTGCAGAGCTTTTCACTGCGCGGGTAAAGCTTGAGAGAGATGCGCCTAAGGACTGTCCGATCCGACGTGAGAACCGTTGGAAAATAGGGTGGATGCTATCGGCTAACGGTTGTACCCTTTCTATCAGGCGGTAGCTCGCGCCACCTACTCTAGTTGTACGTCATTCCATTTTCCCTAGATAATTTACACAAGTCTTCAAATCTCCTCTTTGTTATTAAAATGCACTTATCATCCATTCTTTCATTCCCGTCTGCGGGAATGGAACGACAGTCGGATACGACAGCTTGCCAACTTGTCAGATATTCGCCGCACGGCCGTCCGACTGCCGGAGAGTCGCTGCCAATGCCAGCACGGACGGCGCGAATGTCATGTTGTCTCGTGACTGTTGGCCCGATCGACAGCAATACACGAACTCAACTCTGTTACGTCACGGCGCGGTGGTGGCGCGTCGAGCGCACTTCCGGTCCGGGGCTGTGGGTGGAAGTCGCCATGTGGGATGCGCATTTCTGCGTTGTTTTGAAGCAAACCAGACAAACATCTGCCTTCTCGTCAAAACTCCTCGACTGGGGCTGTACCAAAAGAATCGAGAAAGGTTTGAAGGTCAGTCTTCATATGCTCAGTTCGTCCGAGAACGTGGGTATGTGCCGTGAAAAGGGAAAAACAGACGCCGTCAGACCACGATTGCTTGGGCGGGAAGCATATTGGGCTGAAATCGCGGATACTTGGGGTCATCAGATTTATTTGTTTTGTTCCAAAATGAACGCGAGAAAACCATCAAGTCGTACGAACCACCTGCGGACTACGTTCAGTGCGTCTTCAAGTTCAAATGGCCGCCTGATCGTTCGAACTGTCGTCTGCTCTTTCAGACGACACCGGCCCGTAGACCGAACGTTGGCCCTGTAATTGCGATAAGAAGTAAGTGCAGGGCCTCAAAGGACTTTTCTGAAGTTTGGTTGGGGTAAGCAGGCTCGGTGTAAACAGTAGACACAAGGAGATGTTGATCATTGTGGGACTTGTTATGCCTGATTCACTTGGTTCGATTCTACTTGCGATATTCAGTATCGACGTTGACTATCTCAGCTACGCGGTTCACGCTTTTGCAGCCCGAGCGACGTCGTGACTGAAAATTACGAGCTGAATCTCATCATGCCAATCAGGTTGTAGCGTACATTCTGCGCCGTCCATTCGCGAGAAGTCTTGCGGTGTAACGAGCCTCGGTAATTTCGCTGAGGCTGCTCATGTAGTCAGACATTGCCATGAAGACTTAGAATCAACAATTCCAACGCAAAAAAAAAAAAAAAAAACGCGGTGACTCACACGGACGCCGACAACATCGCACTTCAAAGGTTTGTTTATGGGCGACGGCAAGTTTCTTGCCCCACTCCATCGCGCATGCGCGGCGCCGGTGGCATTCGCTAGGGGAGCTCCGGTTTGTTTGTAAGCAGGAGTTGGTCCATGGCCGTCAGGCGGCCCGGGGAAGGGGATGTAAGCGAGACGTCACGCGAGTCGTCGTCGTGAGGGCAACGGACGCCATGGAGTCTTCCCACGCGCACAAAACGAGCTTCTGATTTGGCGCATCCGTAGCAAGCCGGCCTTCTGGGACTGATGGAGACTGTCGAGACCCGAATATACTCGGTTTCACCTTACGATAGACAGCAGCGGACTCTTCTAGCCATTCCAAGGCCGTGTTAGTGTCATGTGACCCTGGGGAGAGACGCAGCAATGCGTGGGGTGCGTAGTCACGTAATTTGTACGCAGTGCTCGCTTTGCTGGGATGGCTCCTAAGGTCCGCTGCGTGATTACGGGATGCTGAGCGAACAAAGTAACCTTTGTTCGCTCAGTTCACGCTAAGTATGAAACGGAGCATAACATCGTCGAAGGTCGCGGCGAGCGATCGACACCAAAGACGTTTCTCCATAAAGGTGACGGTGATTGGAGTTGCGGAGAGAGAGAGGGAAAGATGAAACTTTATTAGCTCCAAAGAATATGAGCAGGGGGCCTCAGTCCAGGGCCCGTCCTCGGAGCAGGGGATGACAGGCTTTGTTCACTTACGCGTGTCCCACAGAGACGTGTCACCGTAGTTCCCGCAACCGTCACACGCGGCTGCAGATTGGCAAATAATGTGTTTTTCGTTTCCTCTGCGGTCACGCAGCGGAATAGCAGTTTTATCGGGAAATGTGAGGCATTTTTTAGTAACTTGTGCGTAGATAAGCAGTATAAAAAAATTCCGAGGACACCTAAACACTTCTTATGAGTTGTGAATTCGAAAGCATGAATGTCGTTTTTCCGCTCCTTTGGTTCGTCTGCGGCGTACTGGCGTGGACGGCTATGTTACGCTGCTGCAGAGGTTGTGGCCGCCGCCAATATACACGCCTCAGGCGCCGCCAGGTTTCTCGGCGACGAGAGGAGCAGAAGCGGCCGCAGCCCCCCACCCTTTTTCGGCTACGCCTGACATGTGAGCGGCGGCCGAGCACGGGCTTTCGTGAAGCGGCCGCCAAGGGCTACCTAGAAGCCGTTTTGCTCAGTCAATAAAAAAAAATTTGCATTTCAATCGCTTTTTTTGTTGTTGTTTTTCGTGGTTACAGAGGTCGCCGGCTTCGCTTCATGCGAAAGTTCATGCTCTCGCATTAAAAATACAAACTGTAAACTCTTTCAACATTAAAGTCGTTGCGCTACCACTTTAAAGTCAGAAAACCCACGAAGGGCGAGGGGGGCAATACTATTTTTTGGTTTCTAGGCTATATGCTGCAAGCTAACGCCATTTATAAATACAGCCCATTTACTCATCAGTCTCGTAGATGGAAACCCGGAACTGGGCGTAGCTGTACGGGACGATTCGTGGGAAGAATGTGTTTCGAAATGTCGTGTGCGGCGAGTCAGAGCAGCCATTACTACGATGGTTTGTACGTCGAATCTGATAACTTTGTCGCGCATGTGCGGAAAGCGCGGAAATGTTCAGATCTTAGTATGTATACGACATCATCCCTTTGCGCTGCAAACGCGACTGGAAGGAGAGGCTTCAGCGGCTACTTTGAAAGCGCTGTTCTGGCTACTTGGCGCATCAATCTATTTTTATATTCGCAATCCTGAAAACCAAATTAAAAAATTGTGGGTGTTTTTAGTTATTAATTTATTTATTACAGTACCGCTTCAGTTTTTCTTTAAGATGAAAAGAAGTTTAGTGATTTCATCAAAGTGAGGGCAAAATTGTCACACCTACACTCTCAAGATGTGCAGCGCCACGTCTTCTTGACAGCGGTAGAGTGCGTGTACGTCGCTGACGAGCGCTACTTGATCTCTGCTGCAGAATCCACCAAGAAAGGAGTAACCTGAAAGGAATGGAAGTATAACAGTTTAATGATAGGGCTTTTGCTCACGGTTATTTACATACGCGCAGACTGTCACAGATTGCATGCAATACAGAAACCTGACGAGGATAGGGCATAATACCCAACTTCTCTTTTTGTTTGTCATTTAGGAAGGTTCAGATGTCGGAAAATCATGTGATAGGCGCTTTGTTATGTGCTAGTATATATTTAAGGAATGCGTTACGAACAAAGCAAAGTGAGTATTCACTTGTCCTCAGCGCGAGCTCTTGATAAATTAACCTATCGTCTGCCGCTAGTAACAGCTCTATCAGTGTGAGAGAAACGCGGCGAATGCTCGTTCCTAACCGCGCCTAACCGCGGAGCGCACAGCTATGGTCGATACTCCTATATACGGAGAGCAAGCCGTTTGCTTCTGGCGCGGGGGCGGCGTTAACGTCGGAACGACGCCGAGTTCTGATTGGTTTTGATTGAAATGATAGTGGGTAGACCTCAATGCTAGATGCCTTGAGGTCTACCCACTATACTTTCCTATCAGCCAATAAGAGCTCGGCGTTCTGACTTCTTGCAACCCCTGTGCAAGAAGCAGACGAAGTTGGGCTCCGCATAGGATGTTGACGAAGAAACACTGTGTTTGATTGGTGGCTGCAACTTTGATTGGTCCAGGTGCAGCTTTAATTCCATTAAAACATGTAGCTGGTTGAAGCTGGTACGAATTCTGGAAACCTAATCACACGAAAAACATTTCTAAAACCCTAGAGGTTGTGTTTGTCGCCTACGAAGAGGGTATAAATACAAGAAGTCTTAATTGAGACATCTTGTGATTTTTTTCTCCTTATAGCCTTCGTCTTGGGTTTTAAAAATATTTAACTTTAACCAGCTGGTCGGCCTTATTACGTTATCTTCAATCATACGACGTTAACCTCAGAGACGCAGTGTGCATTTTGCGTCCGGAACCAGCTTCATCCAGAGCGGATTCGATATGATGATTCCCAATTGGCATGACCTCGTCATATAGCTCACTCCAACGGCCAAACCAAGAAGGAAAGATCAAACAAGAAATTCCAGTTGGATTGGCAAGGCAGAGGACCTCACAATGGAGCGGGCGCCTGAGTCTTGTTTTGTTTTTGTGTTTCGTATCGCGGTCTCACCGAAACCTCCGAAACGAACACCACGGAAATGTGCCTCTGGCGCATAAGAAGATGCACGAAATAAAAAGTCAGAGTGATGGATCGCGTGAGGTGGCAAGTTCAACCCAGCATTCATGTGTGCTGATGTTCGGCGTCGCCCGCTTGAGGCCGTCGCTGGGCGCAGATTACACACGAATGCTGCCTCAGCGTTCATCTGGAACTCCACTCTTGCCTGCTTGAACACGAGTTCCGACCGCATGGTGCCGCAGCACTCGCGTTCAACCTGAGTCCCGCCAGGCAGGCCTCAAGCGGCTGACGTAGAAACTCAAGCACCATAGGCCTTGTTATCCAGGAGGTGTGCACCCCTTACAACGTGAAGACGGCAGGTTCCTAGAGGGGTGCTAAAGTGCGTCTCCGACTGGCGTGCTTAGCCTCCTATTCCGTCCACGCATCGAAGGACGTTCCCAAGCCGCAACGAATTACATCACAAAAGCCGGAGTGTCAAGCTGTCGGATGTCGCCATCCCGGAGGTCGGGTGTAAAAATTCTGCAAGATATTACGAGCCCGTTGTCCCTCACTCCTGGTTTGCCATGTCGGTATTGGACCAGCTCGCCTGTACAGTTACTTTAGTTCAAATCATTCTATTCGAGACCATATATTAATAGGGAAATCGGTAACTGAAATACGTCACCAGTTTGAGACTCTTTCTGAAAGTAGTACCTGTAAGAAATACAGCGCGTTTTCAACTTAGATCTCGATAGAGCCGTGGCGGTGATAAGCGCTCCTAAATTACTTACGCCGTTAGCATAACGGTGACCGTAGCATTTTCAAACTGCGTTGGGTTTTGCATTGCAAAATTCTTTAAACCCCACAAAGCACTATACCCATCCAACTTGCCATCTTTGATGCTGGTTTCATATATCCTTTTCTGTTCAGACTCCTGAAAAATGTCACATCGTCGCACAAACATGTTTATACTTTTCATGTCAAGTTATCTTTATATCCTTTTTTTAGACTCCACATACGGTGAGTACACAGCAAGTGACAGTTAATAAGGCACGATGCATGGCAGTTACGTTCTGGGCAGGATGGAAGACAACATACCACTTTAAAGCCGCGCTAACACTCATATACACTCATATACGCTCATAACACTCCCATACAAAAGGCTGTCTGCAGAGATGTTCGAAGTGTGCATCTATATGAAACAAAGATACTTTGAGCATTCTTGAGGCTCGCCCTCGGAGAATTATGCCATCGTGTCTTTTGTATAATGTACGAGCTGTCTGAATGCGGCCTTATGGTCGTTACCACTAATGTTATACTTGAGGGACATGTTTCGTCTGTTTCTAACAATCTGGAGCACGCCTCAGTCGCGTAAATGCGTCAACAGTTATCCGAGGAGACCATCGACAGATACCATGGATCGCGCAAACTTGAAACGCACTTCAGTGTTCCCTTTTTTAACACTTTCCATACATTCACAATAGGACATTTTGGAAGGTATACCTTTAGGTGCAGACGTTTGCACGTTTGTGATTACATTTATTTCACCCGCTTGCGCGATGATAGCGCTCGGATTTCGATAGTACGCCCTTGCACGTGACGTACACTTCCGGTTTGAACCCTCACCGGAATTCAGGATGTGACGATTCACCCTGTAAGTTTCCATACGCAAAAATAAATGTTTTTTTTTTGCTCTGTTTCTTTTTTTTTTGTCAGCTGCTCGAGTTTTTTTTTTTGTTTTGTTTTTTGCGTTGTAATTGACAGCGCCGGTCGCAGCAGTCGTAGTGCCTTTCTTTCCAATAATAAAAGTAGAATTCATCATACTCATGACGTCACAGTGCGCGTTTGACCAATCGTGGAAGATTTACCAGGAAGACGCTTTTGATCGCGCCCGTCGCCAATTCACGAACAAAACACATGTCGTCAAGAAGGCAGAAAGCGAATTTTCCAGCACTACGACCCTTGATGGGGAGAAGCAGGCTGTTCGGGTATACACACTCCGGTTTGATTACTTTCTAAGGTTAACTAGAAAAAAAATTAAGGCTCTAATCCACGTTGTAAAAATAGATGGACAGCGAAGCCCTGCAACGATTGCCCACAGCATTATAGACCTCTTTTATGGTAAGCGTCACCAGGTGGTGCTCCAGTCTGGCGTCCCAGAGAGCTTCCGGTTTATAAAAAAAAGGAACAAAGGGGACTTAACACCGCTGCTCTAAATGGAGATGACACGTTTAACCACCGATTCTCCAGGTGAACGCCAAAAGAACAAAGGAGTGCAAGATCTGTTAAAATGTTTCGAGTATTCTTGTATCCCAACTTGCCGCCTCCAAGATGTAATATTGTACGGCCGAATGCCCGCGTTAGAGCTCCAACTTTGTTGTCCGTGTAGCGTTTATGCTTTCTAGCACTTGTGACATAAGCAAGCTCAACAGGCTAGCAAAGACGGTGGGAGCGAAAGCCGCTTGGGGCGCAAGCGGCAGTTCATGTTTGTAACCAGCAAAGGGGTTATGTTATACCACATGATTGACGAAAGAAAAGTAAATGCGCTGTAACGAAAGTTTTTTTTTTTTCTTTGTAGGAAAGACTTCGTACGCTGCCGTCGCCGCGGCAACTTATGCAACTATAATTTTTACCGCGAAACGTATGCGGGAGTACTACGTGCTTATTATCGTTCGCGCGCGCCTTAATATGCTGCGAACCGTCACAACCGAGAGATCCCACCGATGCCTCCAGACCTGAACCTCAGGGCACAGGTCACCATAAGGCGGATTATCACCAACACCGCCCTCACACCTGCCCTCAGGCACAAGATGTTCGGCGATGATCCCAACAAAGGCAAGTGCCGCGCCTGCGCTGTGCCGGCGCCCACCTCGCACCTGGTCTGGGAGTGCCCAACCTATGTCACAGCCCGAGAACGCATTCTGTCGGAGTTACCGGCAGAACACCGACCCCCCAGCTACATCGACTGGATTCTACCCCAGGACACGTCGCTCGGGACTGTTCAACTCCTGTGGAAGCACCTCTGCCTCTTCGTCCACGCAGACGGAGGGCCTGGAGCCCTGCTTCTACACGGCCCGCCAAGGAAAGAAATCCCCCGTGTCTCTCCCCCGCCGCTGCTGATGCCGCAAGAGCAGCCTCGAAAAGGCCCAATAAAGAAGTTTACAAACAAAGCGCCTTAATATATCACGCGGTTTTGACGCTTGTTTTGTGGTTTTCTTATTGAAGCAAGTGTTAAAACCACATGAATAAAAGATAAGGCGTTCGCGAACGGTGATAAGGCACGCGCGTGGGTTTTCTGTCGACGGACAAGAAGAAATCCCCCCTGCGAGTCATATACAGCTTTGCTGTAAACAATAAAAATGAGGCAGTTTGCTCCATGGAGGTTGAAAACAGGCATGGCATCTAAATTAGCTTTGAATGGGGTCAAAGTTTATACGTAACGGTCCTTATTCGGGTTTAAGAGTAGCCGGTTTTCAAGAAGCCGCTCCCGTCGGCGGCTAAAATGACTTTAGTGAATGAAGCCAGTGCGAATTCAAAGGGAAACACAAAGCCTAGTAAGCTTCAGTTGATGCCGCCCCGATACGTTCCTGCTCGTACTGATCGAGCTATGACTTCGACGGTGCCACTCACCATGCTTCTGCGTTTCGTCAACACCAACAACGATGCCAACAACTAATCGTCAAAACAGTTAGGGCGCAGGCGAGCTGGTGTAAGTTTACTCTTTTTTAAGACTACCTAAGACGGGGTAGAAGAAACACGACGACGTCCCAAATTGAGACGTCGTCGTGTTTCTTCCACCCAGTCTCAGGTGTTCTAAAAAAATGGTAGACTAATCGTCTGCATGCAAACTGACGGGGAAATGGCGTTTAGGGAAAATACCCCGTACCGCTGAGGCTGCAACATCACTGGTGTATGGTGCCGATCACCGAGTACGTCATGATGCGGCAAATACGCTCGCGTATTTCTGAGCGCGTAGAGCCCCCACGCGTATACATACTCGGGCTGATGCGCGAGCGAAAAGGATATCTCACACTTAGGCAGCCAATTCCAACGAGCCTTAAAACGAGTCCCAGAGCGTGTGGGAATCCGCTGTAAGTTGCTCTTACCTAAAAAAACAAACAAAAAAACAACATGTTATTGATATCGGGGAGTCAGAGCCTTGGTCATGCCGAGACAGTCATAAAAGAATCCGCTGTACTAAAAATAATTATTACAAAATAAAAAGAAAGTTATGTCGAGACCGGTTATAACGAAGTCAACGGGATTCGGAAATCATTTCGCTATATCCGCTATTTCGTTATAACCGAGTTCGGTTATAACGAGCTGCAAAAAGGAATAGGAAATTGGTATCGCTACGCTGTAGCCGCTATTTCGTTATAATCGACTTCGTTATAACCGGTTTCGACAGTATATGGTAACTGACAGCTATATAAGAAGCGCAGAGGGTGGCCCAATATTTTCCCGCTTTTTGCTCTCTGATTGGTAGTTCAGCGTCTAATGACGCAATCTGATTGGCTGCGAGGAGATAATGAGATGCCTCGGAGGCTTGCAGTCGAGACGTCCGGCATTCCTCAAGCCAGAGTCGCCCTGCTCAGACGTCATAGCTAGAGCCCGGCGTGGATAACAGTTTGATTATCCGCAGACTTCGCATCCTCATTGGAACCGCATCCGCAACGTTCTTATATAATTGGGCAGTTTTCGTAGACCGTGTTCACCCCCCCCCCCCCCCGCCCCCCCGCTAAGCCGTCCGCAGCGAAGAAGCCGGTGCGGGTTGCGGAGAGCGCGGCAGGACGGCGAACACCATCTACGAGAACTCTCTATTGTATATGCATCCGATCCGCATCCGCAAAATTCGGAACCGCATCCCACTCTCAATCCGCGCATTTATTTTACATCATAAAATCAAGAATTTTGTAATAATTTGATTACTCTTATCGGGGAATCATCGGAAGAGTAATCTGATTCTTTTAAAAGTACTAAGATTACTTGTAACCGTCATTATTTCCCCCTCCCCTTCCTTATGACGGCCTTTGCTTGTACAAGTTTCCTAGTAAGTAATCCTCGAACCAAGCTTCCGACAGGAAGATGCATCGTTTACCAAAACTGGTGAATTAAGAAAATAAGTAGCCTATAATTCGGTTATCCTAATCGAATAATGGAAAGTACGAAAGACGCGTTTTCAAACCGGCAGAAGAATCAGTCAGTGAAAACCTGAAGTAATGGGAAAAGAAGCGGTGACTTTTTCAAGTAAAGTCGAATCCCCTTTTTTTTTCTCAAGTAATAAAGTGATCTAATTAAATACTTCTACCTAAGAGTAATTTTATCTGTAATAACCGTAATCAATTACTTCTTTTCTTCTTTTTTTTCATGTAGCGTGTACAAGATTGGTCCGATTTCAGTTAAACGAGGTCATGCCGAACTTGGGCTGTCCTTGCCATTCCCCCCGTGGATCAACTTGGGTTGCCCGTGCTATTTACGGAATCGAACTTTCTGCTCATATTGCTAAGACTGAGTGAACGTTGCGGAGATTTAACGTAAGATGTCTGTTTAATGTCATACAAAATGACCGACGAATGCAACTTAAATTGTGAGAGATATTTGGAGTTTGTAGAACTTCACTACATACAATCTTGACCCCCAGCCGTAGCGAGGGAAGTCTTACGTGGGGTGGAATTTTGTTGTCGGAGTGTTGAGTTTGAAGGTTCTATCTTATTTGTTTGTATGAGTTTATTTGAGACAGCCTTACAGGAAGTGTCAGGAGACATGGCTAAAGGCACTTGAAATGCCTGACGAGGCCACGCCACCCTTGAAATAAAAAAAAACAGCTTGGAGCAAGAGGTGCGAAAGCTCGGGCCGCAAAACCCGGCGACCCTGGGTTCAACCCCCACCGCTGCCCGTTTTAATATGGATGGGCATCGTACCTGCGTGCAGTCATGTATCCCTATACTGCGTGGTGGTGCACGTCAAAGAACCCAGGCTAGTGGTTGCACTGCACTGAATAAATTGCTCATCTACACCTAAGAGACAAGTCGTCCCTTGGAGCTGACTAACTTCCGTCTGTACATACCTATACAAAACAAAATTACAATTAGTAAAATCAAAACACGTTCGTCGGCTTTCGGTATATCTGTTCTGAAACTCTGTGTCTGTAGTCGGCTCATGCTGGCTATGTATCACCTGGCCTACAGAAATGAGATAGAAATATATAAAGTTTTGTGTTCCATTTACGTTGAATGAGCTATTATTATTATATTTTCAAGACAAATATATCTTTAACTCTAACAAGACATGCAAATTTATGTAATTATCAAAATGTCAATAATGTCTCATGTATGTCACGCGGGGAAAGTGTGTGCATGGCCAACTTGAGATGCTCCTGGAGCAGGGGGCTCCGTTAAGCCTTTAAACAGATTTTACCCCCTGTTTTCTCCATTCCTGTATTGAATGGGAAATAACCTTTATTATTATTATTATTATTATTATTATTATTATTATTATTATTATTATTATTATTATTATTATTATTATTGCCAATAATAATGCCAATAAGGTAATGCCAATAAGGTAATGGACTGGTTCCAGGCAAACAAACTTCGAGTAAATACTACCAAAACAAAGCTTATTTGTTTCCGCAACCCTTTAAAAAGCGTGAGTTTAACCGCCCCACTCTTTCTTCATAACTCATGCTGCTCATGTTCTACCTGTGAGCCTGTTCATTATGTTAACACGATTAAGTACCTGGGCATTCACTTCGATTGCGACCTATCTTGGAACACCCACATGTCATACCTATGTCAACGGCTGAGAACAGTCGCTTGTATGATGTACCATATTAAGGCATATATGCCGCTAACTATAAGGAAATGTATAATGCATGCTCTTACCTACAGTGTCCTGAGGTATGGCATCACTATTTTTTTTAATTGCCCCCTTCAATGGCAGTCAAGAATTGACAGAATTCTACGAAATACTCTAAAGAGCATTGCATACAACACAGAATGTTCAAAAAATGTCAACCTTTTCTCGTTCTTGGAATTGCCTACGTTTCACTCCCTGTTCCTTCAGACTGTAATACGAAGACATTTTTGGGACAGTGAGTTTATTATACCATCCTTACCATCTCGTGACCTAAGAAATTATCCTCGTTTCCAAATTCCTCATGTAAGGACCCATTATGGTGAAAGTTTGCGTATATTCTATGTGCCTAATGTCTTCAATAGCATCCCTGAGTCGGTTTTGGCAATTACTTCCAACAAAACATTGACGAAAAGCTTGAGAAAGATGTATTCTGCCGCATCGATGCAATGATATAAAGCAGCGGAATTGGTATCAAATTTTGACCCCATACTTCTTGGCCAGCGCGCATCCAATACAACCCTAATTTCAGATATGCACCGGCACCTTGTAGTATGTAGTAGTAGTAGTAGTAGTATGTCATTTTGCTCAAATCCTCCACTGTTTTCTTTTCGTTTTTTTTTTCTTCTTTACTTTTTTTTTTTTTTTTTTTTTGAGAATATTTCGTCACCAGTGCTACCATGGTTCAGTCACACAAGCCCTTGAAGGCTTTGACGAACCGGCCTTGCTTCATCACTGCACCCATAATGTACAAATAAATTTATTATTATTATTTTATTATTATTATTATTATTATTATTATTATTATTATTATTATTATTATTATTATTATTATTATTATTATTATTATTCAAGATGGCGCCCAGCTCGGACGCATGTATTATCTGCTCCCGCTGCTTCTACGGAAGACAGAGGTTTCTACGCTGTTCTGGGTGCCAGTTACGTGCCCACACCAAGTGCATCTGCTGGCCGGAGAATGAGACCACCTTTCTTCAATCTGGGGTGAGCTCCTTTATCTGCAAGAGTTGCGAAAAGATCAGCGGGGATACTAGGCCTAATGGCGATAGCCAGGCCGGCCTCGACGAAGCATCGCTCAGCCACCACTCCTCACCGCCCTCCCCGACCGCTTCCAACCGCCCGGAGGGGCCAGCTTCCTCCTCCCCCGGCGGTCCCAACGCAGACATGGAATCCTTACGGGCCCTCCTCCTCGACTCCCTCAAGGGGATCTCCTTCCTCACGGACGAGGTTGCTGCTCTTCGGGACGAGAACGCTCAGCTTCGCCGCGAGTACAGGCAGTCTTCCCAGCTGCAGGCGAGTGCCATACAGTCTTTGCGGACGGAACTCAGAGCTGTGCGCGAGACTCGGAGCCAAATGGGGCCGGCCGGCGGAAGACAGCTGCCATTTTCCTACGCCGCGGTGACGAGCCCCCATCATCCGCTATCTCCGGCGCGAGGGGGAGGAGGCACCCCTCTTCTCGCAGGGGGGGCCTCTTCGAGCGCGCCGGTCGACGGTCTCTCTGCGACCTTGAACGGGTCGCGCACCGACCTCGCTGAACCTGTCCAGCCTTCGGGGCACCCACGCCGTCGGGACCCATCCAACTTTAACGGGGCTGGGTTCCGCGGGGCGGGACACAAGTTCCCCACGGCAAGGCGTCCGTTGTTGAGGGGAGGTGCGGCAGCCAGCTGTATACCTGTGGCACTGCCACCCCCTCGTCCACGTCACCAACGCGCTGTGTTCGTGACGCGTCTCGGCTCATCTTGTGATCCTGCAGGCCTTCAGGCTCACATCCAAGGGCGGGGCCCTGTTCGTGAGCTCGTATGCACCCGGCTCAAGACACGGTATGAGGGCTACTCGTCCTTCCACGTGACGGCTGCGGAAGACGAAATGGAGAAACTTTTTGATCCCCTCCTCTGGCCAGAGGGAAGCCTCTTCAAGGAGTTCACAGGCCAGCTGACTGACAGCCGTACCTATCAAGCGGTATCTCCAACACCTTTCTCCAATAATGCCGAAACAGATACCTAAACTAGACATTTATTATCAAAATGTCCGAGGTCTCCGCACAAAAGCTAATGAATTTTTTTCTAACGTAACCCTAACTCATGCATCTATTATTGTGCTAACCGAGACCTGGCTCTGTTCGAATATTTCTTCATCTGATCTCTTCCCACCAAATTTCACAGTATTTCGACGCGATCGCACATTCTCTACATTGAAAAAGACAGGGGGTGGGGTGCTGATAGCAATTGATACGTCGTTACAATGCGTTAGGCGTCCAGATCTCGAGACATCATTTGAGTCAGTGTGGGTAGAGCTACAATGCGCTAATGGCGAGCGTATCCTTCTCGGCTCTTATTACTTGCCCCCTGATACCTCTCCTGATGATTTTAGCCAATGTCTACTAGGCATTGAGCGCACAACCAACGCCCTTGAAAAATTTAAATTTATGGTTCTTGGCGATTTTAATGTCCCCAACATATGTTGGGAAACAGCCTCTGCGTCCTCAAAACATTACTATATTATTCAAAAATCTCATCTTTTGCTTAATTTCGCATCATTTACGAACTTAAGACAATATAACTGTATCCCGAACACCCAGGGCAACATGCTTGATCTTTGCTTCTCGGATCTTGACTGCATAGATGTAACTGAGGGTGCGTCAGGCTTGGTTCCCCCCGACGGATATCACCCCCCTTTGGAGATTAGTATACCTGTCCGACAGGGCATGAGACGTTGTTCACGGAAACATCCTGAAGGGAATAGACACAATTTTTGCGCTGGAGATTATGTTAGTTTGTACGATCATTTCTCCAATTACGACTGGTCCTCAATTATCCTGTGTTCTGACGTTGATCAACAGGTTCGCGATTTCACTCGAATCGTCCGAGAAGGAATGGATCAATTCATCCCGCTTCGTAAAACATCAGGCTCAAAGTTTCCCTTCTGGTTCTCGCACGAATTACGTACTTTAATGAATAAGAAATTGCGCGCTCATCGAAAGTTTAAAAAGAACGATACCCCCGAATTAAAATCAGAATTTGGGCACTTTAGGTCTCTCTGCAAGGAAGTTTTTAAACGTGATCGTCAGGCGTACACTGATTCCGTCGAGTTGCAGCTAACTAAAAATCCCAAAGAATTCTGGAAGTATGTTCGCTCTCGGTCTCAGAAAAAAGGTAGAGGAGAGATCACCCTGCTGGACTCACAGGGAAACTCGACGACAGATGTTTGTGAAATTTTTGCACGCCACTTCCAGTCTGTTTTTAAGCATCATCCAATCCCTTCAACTACTGCCGCGCCAGCTGTCTCTGGGAATGCATCCTGTATTGCACTCTTTGACGAGGAGCTACTGCATGAGTGTGTAAAAAAAATGAAACCATCATTGTCTTCTGGCCATGATGGTATTCCGTCAGTCCTCTTGAAGGCATACAGTGCCATATTTATTCCTGTTCTAGTACAGATTTTTAACAACTGCCTAAAGAATGAGGTCTTTCCCGCCATGTGGAAAACGGCACTTGTTGTACCTGTGCATAAGTCCGGTCCAAAAACAAATGTGTCGAACTACAGACCTATATCTCTTCTTTGCACATTTTCGAAGCTCCTCGAAGTGGCACTACACAAAATATTGTCATTCAATCTCAAGCGTTATCTTATCCCTAACCAACATGGATTTATGGCGGGTCGCTCGACCACAACTAATCTCGCCTGTTTTATGTCAACCGCTGCTCACGCCGTCGCTAACAGAGGCCAGCTTGATGTGATTTACTTTGACTTGAGTAAAGCGTTTGACATTGTTAATCATGAGATGTTACTGGCTAAACTGTCAAAGCTAGATATTCACAACTCATTGCTTTCATTGCTCGAAAGTTATTTGCGTGACCGGAAGTGCTTTGTTAGCTCGAATAATAATTTTTCTGCTACTTATGAGGCGACAACGGGTGTGCCTCAGGGCTCCGTTCTCGGACCTCTTCTGTTTTCAGTTTTTGTTAATGATGTTTCGACTGTGATTCGTCACTCTTCATTTCTTCAGTACGCAGATGATATTAAGATGTTTATGGAGGTACGAGAAGACCGAGACTGTGTTTTGCTACAGAGAGATGTTGATGCTTTTGAAGAATGGTGCCGGGGGAATGACCTAAAGATAAATAGCTCTAAAACGAAAGTCGTGTCGTACACTCGTAAGACACATAACATTGTATTCCCATATGTTATTCAGACAGACCTTTTGGAACGTATGAACAGAATCAAAGATCTTGGCGTAGTGTTTGACAGCACCTTAATCTTCTCCAGTCATGTGGATCACATCGTGAACGCAGCTCTACGCACGCTCGGGAGTGCGTGCCGCATCACTAAAGAGTTTATTAACCCCTGCACATTTCTTATACTCTACAGTGCATTGTGTCGACCACAGCTTGAATACGCTTCTGTTGTATGGAATGGAATTTGTGCCACAAATTCCTCGAAAATAGAACGGGTTCAGAACAAGTTTCTTTCCATCTATAGACATCGTTGCTCAGCGCGCATTGTGCCCACCACTACTGATGTCCCTGTCCCTGTTCAGCGTAGCGTGGCACTACCTACCCTGCTTCGTAGGAGAGAACTTGCCGATATCTTATTTTTATACAAACTTGTCCACGCCGTCACTGATTGCACGGTATTGACGTCAAGAGTACTCTTAAAAATTCCTCTAAAAACAACAAGGCAAAATGCGTCCTTCTGCAACAGGCGTCTACTCAACCTCCACGATCCTGTGTCCAGACTTGGGCATACTTATAATTCTTCTTTTTCTGAAACACTCGACATATTTAACAATAACACGCTGCAGTTTGTAAAAACGTTAAAGGCCATCACTTAAATTTGAACTGTATGCACTAACTTGCGGCGTTCACGCCGAAATTCCCCACTTTGAATGCATTTTTTTTTTCTTTCTTTCTAGCAATTGGTGTTGGCGGTAGTACCAATAAGCTTATCGTGTGTTGTGACTTTGTGTTTACTTTTTATAATTTTTAAGTGTATTTTTCTAGGGCTTGTCCGTTGTTTGTGTTGTCCGTACTATTGCTTTATACCCTGTTCTGCCTTACATGTTAACACAGTGCACCTGTACCAAGACCGCAAGGTTGTTCCCGGGCACGAATAAAAACATTGATTGATTGATTGATTGATTGATTATTATTATTATTATTATATGCATCGTCTGGATAAGGTTTAAATGAGGCGGGATAAGGTTACCTGCGTGGCCATGTGGGCTGCTTAATTCCAGGATGTCCACACCAAGAAAATGTTACGGCTTTATTTTTTTTAACCCTAAAATAAATTTCCCTTTGCCAAAATGTAGCATTCGTGATCTGGACCAGATAGCAAAGTTTCCGAACTAACCGTTATTTGATTCAAAAGTTATAAGCGATTTTTTGAAGTTTTCATTGAGAAAATGGCGGCTGACGAAACCCACGAATGCAAGGGGTGAATGGCGCGCCAGTTTCCGCAAACTAATCCCATTTTCCTAGTGAAAATTTTAGAAAATTATTTTGAACTTTTGAATGAAAGCACGGTTTTTTCTGAAACTTTAGTATTTGACCCGACTACTAGCGTTACTTACACTGGGGAGGTTGGGGGGGAGGGCTGAGAATAAGCGTACGGTGCCGTGGAGTTAATTTTTGCAACAAAACAGAACAGTTGTGTGTGTGCGCGTGTGTGTGTGTGTGCGCGTGTGTGCGTGCGTGTGTGCCTGTCTGTGTGTGTGTGCGCGCGCGCGTGCGGTGGGGCGGACACGCTGTTGGTTGTGTCAGGAAAGCCCTGGTTAGCTGCCCAAGTGGGCCCATCTTATAGCCCACTTTGTGTTACTTGGGTAGAGAGACGAGACCATAATCTACAGCGCACAAAAAGGAATTGGGGAAGGGGGGGGAAGGGGGGGAGGGGGAAGGGGAATAGGGCCGTAAAAAAGCAAGCTCTGCTACTACGCCGTTCACTCTACAAATGCACATGTTTCTGGACGTCCTTGTTTAGTTCAGCACGCAAGCACCTTTCTTCATTTTTGTGCAAAAACTAACCATGCAAAATATAGTAACATAGAAAAGTTCAGTGTGGGAACAGCACGTATTGACAGATGGAACCGTAGAAACAGCAATACATTTACTCTGCGGGAGGAAACATATTTGTAGTATGTTTACTTTTATAACATTTATCATGCATTCTTTTAGATTTCTTCGATGCGCTTAGAACTCATATGTCAACAATCCGCGCACGTTCCCTCAAAAACGGGGCGTGAGGCATCATTGAGAAAAAAATAATGACGAGACGGGCAGAAATGCATTGTTAAAACGGGACTGTATCGGCCAAAACGGGAACGTCTGGACACCCCTTACTTTTGCAGTTCTTCGCAGGATAGTTTAACCCCATTTCTCTTACAGTAGAGTATTTGTGAATCCAATGTCAGGCAAGTGCACTGACTCTCAGATATTGGGAAGTCTCTTTAATTCACATAAAGCAAAACAAAGACCAATTTTTTATGATCTTCAAAAAACTAAATCTCTGAGGAGCCTCTGCAGACACATAATAAGCAAATCATAAATGCGTAAATATAAAGCGATCCAAGGCTCCACCAGTCAAAATAACGTAAGAATGTATTTTCGACAGTTCGTAACTGGCGTAATGAGCGTTAATTTGGTCCCCTTCGTAAGACAGAGGCAAAAAAAGCGGAAAATTCAAAATAAAATAAACGCGTGTTGTCTTTTCGGTGGGTCTTTATGCGAGCAATCGGGGCCTTTAAAAATACAATTTATCAACAGTGACTAAAGGTCTACCTATCACTGATAATGCAGCAACGTGCACTTTCGTTTGTTGTCCTATATTTTAAAACTTCGGGACTAATGATTCTTCTACTTACTCCGTTCGTCAGAACCGTCATGTAAAGGCGCTGATCTCCAGTATTGTTAAACAGTTGGCAGTGCGAGTGATCCGAAAGGAGATATAAGTTAACGTGGCGTGTCTGCGAAGGAACTGCGTAGGAACAGGAATAAATAGTTAACTTGGTCGGCATCGAAGAAAGGCTATACAGAGAGTAAGTTCGTCTGCTTCTTTTGCAGGGGTTGTGGTGACGTCAGAACGCCGAGCTGTGATTGAAAGATGGTGGGTAGGCCTCAAAGCAAGCTGCCTTGAGGTCTATCCGCTATCCTTCCAGTCGGAACCAATCAGAGCTCGGCGTCTTTCTGACGTCACCACAACCCCTACTAAAAGAAGCAGACGAACTCGCGTTCCGCATTGTTTATTATTGCCGAGTCAGTTACCAAGGAAACCATAAAAACAATTATCGGTTAGAATTTTATTTTCTGCCTATTGCGTTTCGTCACTTCTAGGATGATAGCGGCTGGGACACGTTTTAGTTGTTTTCCTGCCTCAAACGCGAGCTTCTCGGCTTCGATAAAACTTGGTGGATCGTGAGCTTCGACTGTGCTCGCGCAAACAATGCACGCTGGAAAACAACAAAAGCGTGCTTGAGGCCGGTTGTCCGAAACAGGGGCCATGCCGTTCGTTCTCATCCGGCCAGTGACTATAGTAGAACACTTGTAAACTATTTTATAGCACATGAGAGTAAAGCGTCAGAGAAGTCGATTTCTGCTGTGAATTGTCGAGAATAAAAGCTGTAGCGTAAGTGTGAAAAATTCCAGGCGAAAAACGCACTGAATTCGAAAGATGCAGAAGTCGTCCCTCCCAAGCCATTTTCAAGAGACGAGCTTATGTACTGCGCACAGATAGCGCTGAGCATGGTTTTTGGTAAAGGGAGACCCGTATTTTTTGCACAAGAAAAACCCAGTGCTTCATTTTTAATAAATTGTGTGGAATTATTTTTAGATGGGCACGTATTTGAGTCTTAAGGGCTCAAACAGATGTACGAGAAGCCAACCGATAAACGCGCGAAATTTTGAACACGCTTAAAATCGCTCCACGCTCCTATAGATAAAGTCTGCGTAGTTCAAAATTTTGGATTCCGACAAGAACGGAGAAATGCTTTTGTCTGTAGTCCGTCAAAAAACAAAATTGTAATAAAATTACAATGTCTTTTTGCACATTATCCTCACATTATCCTTTAATTTTTTTTATACTTTCTTGCCATCTTGACAAAGAAAAAATATTGCACCTGAAAGGCATGTTTTGTGCCAACCTGCAGGTGTTGTCACTTTGACAGTTGCTCAGCTCTACACCGCTGGTTGACACACTGGTGCAGTTTCGTCACATTAAAAAGCCCCACAAGCTGGCAAAGAGGGTACTAAGAAAGCAGCTGTAGACCGCATTGTTAGTCACTCTGAAGAACATAGGCTCCATTGTGACAGAATTATGGATAAGGTAGTGAAAATCGTAGATCGACTTCTGAAATTAGTCGGATAAAAGTACTTAAATTACAGCCACAATTTCTTTTGGTCAAAAGGGATTATTTCAAGTTACAAATTGCAAACAGTTATTGCAGTTATTCAATTACTGCAAATGAATGCCTACCAAAATATTCCACGAATTAAAAAGTTAACAGTGCTTGATTTTTTCCGGTGTTTTTTTAGACCGTTTTTGCTAGTTCTGCATTTGGCGTCCCTACCAACTTTCGATCAATTGAGACGACAAACAATGGTCACCACGTTACTGTTACTTGCCACATCCATAAAATAGTTCTCCGCAAAAGGATTGGATAGCGATAGATTTCTTCAACATTTCTGAATTCTCCACGTCATGCATAGCAGAAGAACATTGCTAAATCTTCAACTTCTTCGTTTCTGTTGCGCTTTAGCCTCCTACCAATCGTGGCATAAACATATGTAGAACTCGCAATTGGGCTAGTTGGCGAATGTTAGGAAGCATGGCGTAAGGCGCAAAAAGTGAAAGCCGTTTACAACTCCCTGGAACACCGAATTAGAGCGCAGCTCTTGAGGAGGAGGAGGGAAGGGTACTGGGAAGGGTGAAGTGACCTGGGGGGGTCACGTGACCTTGGGGGGTCACGTGAAGATGCCGATGTCATCAGTGACGTCACTGATGACGTCATCAGCGACGATGACGATGCGGACTCCGATGACGTCATCAGCGATGATGACGATGACGATGCGGATGTCGGTGACGTCATCAGTGACGTCACTGATGACGTCATCCGTGATGCTGACGATGACGATGCGGATGCCGGTGACGTCATCACTGACAATGACGTCATCGGGGAGGTCACGTGACCTCGGCGGGGGTCACGTGACCCTGGGGGTGGTCACGTGACCCTGGGGGTGGTCACGTGACCCTGGGGGTGGTCACGTGACCTCGGGGGGTGTCACGTGACTTCGGGGGGGGGGGGTCACGTTACCTCGAGCGGGGGGGGGGGGGGTCACGTGACTTTGGGTGTCACGTGACCTTGGGGGTCACGTGACCCTGGGGGAGGGGTCACGTGACCTCTGGGGGTCACGTGACCTTGGGGCAGACATGTACAAATTACTCAAAAAAGGTAGTTAAGTTAAGTTACTGAGTATCGACGCAAAAAGTAATTGGAGTAGAGTAGAAATTACGCATTTGTTATAGTAATTGAGTAAACTACTAACTACTGTAAAAAAAGTAGCGAGTTACTTTGAAGTTACTTTCGAAGTTACTTTTTTATATTTTTGTAATAGCAAAATGAACAGCAGTTTTGATCAATGAAAAACCCTGCGAGCCTAAAATTAATACAGTCCATTTATGGCTTCCGTTTTCGCCAAAATAGTTCACTCGCTCGCAGAAGCAAATGACTTTCAAAGTTCTTGATAGGAGAGTTTTCCCCTTTTCCTTCTAAAGACGTCCCCAGCCAAGCTAAAAAGACGTTCCACCGACGGGCTGGATGGAACGGCAGCATTGAATTTGAGAAACAGGCTGTGCAGGGTCGGGTAAGCGAGTGTCGGCATCTTAGGTATCCATGACGAAACATGTAAGGTTTGCCTCGGGTAGAGGGTCTTTTATAACAAACTTTCCTCCTTTTTTCTTTTTTCTTCGTCAAGTTGAGATTGTTATGACTGGCCCCTCTTTATTCCGACGTCGTTCTGAGAGTACGCTGAGAGTTCTGAGAATACGTCAAGGGTTGAAATCTCCCGCCACAACGATGAGATCATCCGGACGACTGCGCGTCGCGTTGTAGTGCTAGTGCTACGCTCCTGAAAAAAAAAATTGTTTTTGTTTAGCAGAACATGAACCGAAGTATACTTCGCCGCTGACGCCGGGTCCAACAAAAAGATCTCTCAAGGGTAACTCCCAATCCTCGCCGGCGACTACGATATTCTGACGCGCCTGACACGCCTGACAAGTAAATCGTTTTTAACAAAGAGGAGGTCTCCCAGGCATGGATGGTCGGAAGGACGCGAAGGATTACGTGAACAAGCATCGTCGCTCGTATACAGTTGCAGCTGGAAGCGCGAATGTGCTCCCATGAACGGATTATCCGTGCCAGGGTTTGTGCGCGGAGGAGTCCGGCTTTGCAAAGGCGTATGCGCTGACGACAAGGCGACCATGGGAAACGGCGCCCAGCTGCGAGGTTATTCCAGTGGCGCCTCCCGTGGAACCTACCGCTTGAGTCAGAACTCACTAAAGACAGACAACACGAAAACAACAACTCTCGGAGTGTCTCCGTCTTTCACGGTTGCAGCTGTTAACGCGGCGCCTGCGTGCATTACAGGATTAGGTCAATACCCGACCAAGGTTTGTTAAGCATCTCTTCCCTCGTTCGTGCGTGCCGGTGTTATGTCTTGGCTGCTCGTGGCCACCTTTGCCCAAGGACGCCTCCCCGAACAAGGGGGCCCCTTGTTCGGGAATGCCACTTCATCTGCCGGCGTCTTATTCATTTCTGCGCTCAAACTTTCGTGATGGGCAAAATTAGCACTATATAATTTCGAAAGTAGTTAGTAATTTGAGTAGAAGTTACCTGAAAAAAGTAGTTAAATTAAACTACTAATTACCCAAATAAAGTTGTAATTGAAAGTTACCAAGTTACTCGAAAAAGTAGTTAAACTACAGTAGTTTGAGTAGAGTAGTTGAACTACGTCCAAGTCTGCCTTGGGGGTCACGTGACCTTGAGATGACCTTGGGGGCCGCGTGACCTTGGAGTGACCTTGGTTACGCCGACGCCGCTCAAGCCGGGAACGGGCCCCTAAGAGCTGAGCTCTAAAAACAACAGACACAAGGAAGTTCTGTGTGAGTGTCTTCTTCCTTGTGTGCGCCTTCCACCATGCTTCCTGACATAAGCATATGCTCGGGGAAGGTCTGCCGAAACGGAGATACAGCAAATCTCTCGGGAGGCAAGGGACGGCTCGTGTTTCTGAACACAAAACAAGCTTGTATGTCTCAACTATTACGAACACCAGACTAAACAAGGTTTAAGGGAAAAAGAAAACACTATATAGTCTCTACTTATTTCAAGTCCGCCAACATTCACGGTCGTTAAGTCGCGTGTCTCACGAAGTCAGCGTCAAAAGTAACCTACCTGAGGGGGGCTTCGTAGGCACTGGTGCAGTGTGGCTTTGACACATCTCTGAAAAAAAGGAGACTTTCTAAATTAAACTTTTTGCGTAAGCAGAAAAGCCAAACAAGACACACGATACGACCTCGTTTCGTCCGCAATTCACTGTCATTCGCAAAACAACATAACTGCAAAGTAAAAAAAAAATGTTGCCGTTTTTTGTTAAATGTATCTTCATTATATATTATATTTATTGTGGATACGCGATAAACACTCTTCGGTAAAAATAAAACATATTATTGTTAATCATCTATCTGGAGAAAAAAGTACAATTTCGAAAAAGAGCACAACTAATATATTTATCTTTTCTAAATCAAGAGTTTCCTAAGCAATAAATGGATCGACTTTCGAATTCCGAACACCAGGGGAATGTTTTCAGTGTTGCCAGTAGAGCCTTCAGCCTTTCAGATCAACGTTAAAACTTCAATACATTGAGAAAAAAAATTTACTGTTTTTTGTGTTTACTAGTTTGGATGTGTCTATTAATGTGTCGAGTCAATTTTAAGGCAAATCGGTGACTATTGAGATTTCGCCGGAGTTTAACGCATTTCAACAAATCACGTGGTTCTGGCGAGGTATAAAGTCATTGTATGTTCCCAAAGCAGAGAAACCCGCAAGCTTCATTTCAGAACCGCCATTTCAGAACCGGTACAGCCGTCACGCACCAACCCATCCCCAATATGACACTGCCATGTGCGGTCGAAGCAAAGCATGCACAGTGCAGCGTTTGTTCTCATGCGAACTCTTCAATAAGCCTCAATTCTCGATATAACAAACGATAGTGAAAAAAAAGAAGTATTAGTAATATAGTTTCTACTGCGTAAAATTTCAACTTTTAAACAAGTGCAGTCAGCGGAGTAAACAAGTGCGCTACACCTCATTTCTGTGAGAAGAGTAAATCGAAATACACCACAAACCTGCGTTTGGAATCCTCAGGAGAAAAATGAACAGCAGCATCAGCAGCAGCGGCAATCGAGAGCTCCATAGCGACCGAAGATATGTGCCTGTGCCCGAAAGAATATACGTTCGAATATTTGCCTCTGAGAGCGGCCGAGTGCGCTGTGCCAACGCCACCTAGAAGGTAAGGCCTGCGCAGCCCTCTCTCTTCCAGGCGTCATCACCAGTGAATCCAGGTAGCGTCGTCGACAGCACGACTCGCGTGCAGCGTCTCACAGCGAGTGCGACGCTAACACGAGGCGACGCCAAGAAGGACGCGTCACTTTGCGGAAGCTCTCATCGAGAATGCGTTTGCCGCTTGGGGAGGGGCGAAGATCCACAAGCGATGACGTCATGAGCAGGCATCATCTTCTATTGGCGAGGAACCCATTTGTTGTCCGCACACCTTGGTGTTTACTCAATACAAGGCCTGTGGGCATGTCCACGTCATCATGTTTACGTTACTTCTTCAATAAAGCGCGGGGCACAATGTAATGGTGTAACGTAACGAAGCCTAACAATAAACCAAGTGACGTTTTTTTTGTTAGCGCCAGATTTCTCCCGAAAGCAGTCGTCAGAAAGTGCGAGCTTTACCCAAATTCGGCTTTTGTGCTGGGCTGGCCATAAGCACCGTGCATGCTGCATTGTTCATGCGGGCCGGAGTGGTAACAAAAGAGCCGCTCCTCTCTCTCGGGCGACCGGAGCACATGATCTCCAGCCAAAATCTGGCGGGGCGTGGTCGGTCGAGCTCTGAGTCATTGTTATTTGTTGTCCCCATCCGTGTTATTCTAAAGTTAGCCGCTTGGTGCGCCACGCTCTGATCTCCTCCCCAATTCTCGTGTTCATCTCAAGAACCTTTGTAGAAAAAGTCCAGCTCTTCGCGGTGGATTGCTTTATTTTTCCCTTTATATAGAGAATCGATAGAGAATTGATATGTGTGGAGCTACATTGTACATTAGATAGTCGATATCTTATCAATCCGCGCAAGTTTAAAACGCCAAAAGCATGGCGTCTCCCTCAGGCAACCAAATCGTATAGGAACTACTTCGCGCGGCGTATGAACAGTGCGCAGAACTCCCTTTTTTCTTCCAACAATCCAACAATAGGGGTCAACGAATACAACAAACACAACAACAAATGCAGCAACAAATGCTGCAAACACAGCAACAAATGCATCAATTCCAGGAAACAATCCTCCAGAAGCTCAGATCAGCACCTGCGGCAAGCCAGGCCACGCCGGAACATGTCTGGTGACTGCAATCAGACAGACTCGCTGCGAATTCTACGATGGAATTGCCGCAGCCTCCCACGACGCAAGGCCGAACTGCTCGTGCACACCAAAGATTAAAATTTTGATATCCTCCTGCTGCAAGAGACTAGAACAGACGACATCGTACTATCACGGTACGAGAAATTCTCAAGTTTCTCCGTTTAACGACAAAATTTCGCCACTGCTCGTATGAGACTCGGGGAATGGGGATTCAGGGCGCAAGTCAACCTGTTTGTAAGCAAGAACCTGCCTTAGTGTTTGAACAGCGCAAAGACGACAGGAAGATAGAAGAGAAGAGGACAGGACGAGCGCTGACTATCAACTGATGCTATTTATTCAGAAGAGGATGAAGTGCGCGAGACTCGAGAGTGCCAAAATGCACTTTTTTCATCAGACACACGCGCGGCAGCTTTTTGCACGGGAATGGCCTGTGCCAGCCGGCGTCACCTTTTCTTCAACCGAAAGCGCAACCAGAAAGCAAAAGAAAGAAAGATAGAAAAGAAGGAAAGAAAAGAAAGGAAAGAAAAGAAAAAGGAAAAAGAAAAAGAAAAAGGAAAAAGAAGAAAAGAAAAAGGAGAAAAGGCACGTGCTATAGTTTGCTGACCCAGGCGTGGTAACCTTCGCCACCTGGAGACCATTGAGCTTGCGATTGCCGCCTTTCTTCTTTTAGGAGCCTTTGTGTAGATTCTGCGCATTGTGATGTCCAGCGGTCTTCGCCTGATGGTGACCAATGATCTTGGAAAGTGTCAACTAAACTAAGGCCTTTCCCGCACATGCCTAGGTTGCTCTTCGAGGTATTCTATTTCTTTGGCAAGCAGGGTTATTGATGGAGAGCTGATGGCTCCTTCCCCTCTTTTGTATATCGAAAAGGCCTCCACGATCTCCCGCGTCCTAAAGTCGTGATGTCTTTTTAGGATGGTACATTGACCGAATAAAGGGGAGCACAAACAGTCGCTGCAATGCCTAACCAAGTTACTGCCTGAGGTGTTTCCTATGGAGGCGGCATGTTCCCTCAGTCGATCATTGATGCATCTTCCGGTCTGCCCAATGTATGAACGACCGCAGGAGAGAGCTAAGTCATATACAGCACCTTCTGTACATTTCGTGAATTGTCTCGCGTGCTTCTTCCCGCATGGTGTTTGGGAGATGGAGAGGGATGTAGAATTCACCTTTTTGCACATCCGGCCAAGCTTGTTGGGTGCCGAAAACACAACTCTGACTCCTACCTTGGCTGCAGTTCTTTTGAGGCTGTGGGAGATTCCATGAAGATACGGGATGACTGCCGTGGGTAACTTTTCCTTGGTTACATTTTGACAAGGTTCAGCTTGGCTACGAGACTCTTGTAGAAGCCTCTCCGCCACGCTGCATATAATATGATCTGGGAAGCCCGCATTTTTCAGTCGATTCACTTGAGTGGTAAAGCTACTCGAGACCTGGTGGCGACAAGACCTGTGAAGGGCGTTTTTTATGGCTGCAACCGCAATGCCTCTCTTGACTAGCTTTGAATGTGCGGATGAAAACGGAAGGAAGGATTTTTTAGAGCGGGGCGAATACTTCCAACAGACATGATCTCCGAATAGAAGTGTCAAATCTAAAAATCGCAGCTGTTGCTCCTCGGGTAACTCATTTGTCAGAGTGAACGGGCGAAGAGTAGACTTGAACGTATTAAAAATATCTCTCACATCTTTTGATCCAGTGTCATCGGATGGTCTGTACAAGACAAGAAAGTCATCAACGTATCGAAATATCTTGATGACTGACGAGTCCCGGAGTGAAATTTCTAATAATCTGTCATAGAAGGCTAGGAGTAGATCACTGAGCGCCGGGGCTATGCATGATCCTATACAAACACCTTCGCGTTGCCGGTAAAACTCACTCCTGAACACTACTGTTGTGGAGCGTAAGTAAAGCATGAGGAGATTCAAGAAGTCCTCAGCTGCGATACCGACTGAGTTCTGAAATTTTAGAGGTCCATATCTATCAATGCCGTCGTTGACTATTTCACAAATAGAGTCGTGAGGAAGGGAATAGTATAAGTCCTTAATGTCCACAGAGAAGGCCAAAACCTTCCCTTTGGGAAGTTGTTGAAGGTAATCTGACACCATGGACGGTGTTCTGACCAAGTAGGGATCTTCAACTTCCAAGACGAATAAGGATTTCTGGAGGTAGTGCCCCAGAAGGCGCTGCCATGTTCCTCGTTCCGAGACAATGACCCGAAAAGGGCAAGCCATCTTGTGTGTCTTGGCCAAAAAGAAGGCCTCCAGGGAAAGGCCTTTGCAATTCCTCACTGATGAAGCGAGTTTCGTTAGATTTAGCCGCTCGCACATCTTGACGGCTTCCTTCTTCGTCTTTTCAGGTTTGTAACTCTTCAATAATGTAAAGTTACTTGTGATGGCCTCCGCGGCCTTCTGATTGTAGAGGTCGTCGGGAACTATGGCGAACCCGCCTTCTTTGTCCGACAATAGCAACTTTAAATTTGCCTCACGGAGCGCGGAGATTGTGTCCTCAGTGCGAATCGAACTGGTGCATTTTGATGATCTGCGGAGACAACCTGCCGTTCATTCAGCTGGATACATCCCAGTGGTGTTTCGACTCCCAACAAATTACTGCAGTAAGGATCGCTCTCCACGCAACCAAGAAACGTCTCGTTGTAGCATCAGCATATACCTGCCCTAACAGTCAATGGAACTTAGTATGTACAACACACTTAAAGAACGAATACCCGGATGACTACCTTATTAATAATAATAATAATAATAATGTTTATTTTCCGTCAAAACACAAATGACGGAGGGAGACCGAGGAAAAAAGCTGCATCATGCAGCTTGACGGGCCCTCGGCCCCCCTCCTTACACATGGCAGCAGTGGCACAAGTAATCCAAAAAGAAAACCAAGAGAAAAGATAACAATTTCAGAGATAAGAACAGGACAATATTACAAAAAAGGTGCGACTATATATAAAAGGCAAACAAAATCAAAGCACATGCAAGCAAAGCATTATACAATTCAGCAAAAATTTAGTTTATGAAACATGACAACTATAAGCAATCACATTTGGAAAAGAAAAAAATGCTCGGAGATTTTTTACAGATGTTGTCGGAAGGTCAATGTTGTGAGTAACAAGAAAATTAAGCAGTCGAGGAAGTGCATACTTTAACATTTGTTCATTGTAGTTAGTTTTGAAAATAGGGAGCGTCCAAATTTCCGTGTTTCGAGTAGGATATGTTGCTACTCTTAGCGAGAGAGACGCCAATTCACTAAGCGCATGAAGATTTGTTTGTACTTCGGATTTATAGGTCATGCATAAACGATATTTATATAATCTATTTACAGGCATCAAATTTAAACGATTAAAGAGAGGTTCGCTAGGGTGATCGTATGACACGTTACAAATACTTCGCAATATTTTCTTTTGTATCACAAGTATTTGGTTTAAATTTGTATTCGTAGTAGTACCCCAGACTAAGAAGGAATAATGAATGTGGGAGAGAAACAATGCATTATAAATAATTAATTTTACATTTGTGGGCAGAATATGGCGATGACGATACATTAAGCCTGCGACTCGTGACAATTTTACCGAAATATAATTTACGTGTTCATCCCAACTCATTCGATCCGTGAATATAACGCCAAGTGTCTTAAAACTAGATACAATCTCTATTTTGGTTCCATTTAAAACAATATCAGTAGTTATATAATCATTCTTACTTTTTGGGCGAAATAAAATTGCTTTTGTTTTGTTATCATTTATTTTTAAAGCATTACATTGAAGCATTACATTACATTTAAAGCATTACATTACAAGCATTATTCTGGGCGGAGACCGTAAAGGGATACTACAACGAAATTTCGGCGCTTATTTTTTGGTCTATATGTGTTCAAAGGAGCCGTATCACATCGAACACACCAATATCTTGTTAAAAAAGTCACGAAAAGAAATTTTAAAACGAATTAAACGATTAGCAAAGAGCACCTGGTGGATGTCGCTAACGCCTCGTTTGTAATACCCGTGTATAGTCGGTGACAGGTCAAGAAAGAAGCGGAAGCGCCTCCCACCTCTTTCCACTTTAGTAGAGCGAACGCTGGAGAGGAGGCGACCTCCTCTCCACCGTTCGCTCCGCTGAAGTGGAAAGGGGTGGGAGGAACTTCCACTTCGTTCTTGACCTGTGAGAGGTAGTGACAGTAGCTGTATCGCCTCCGGCCACGACGGGAGGAGAGGGGAAGGAGGAACTCCCCTCTTCCCGAGAATCCCTTTTGTGTGACCGAGAAGTCGCTATTGTCCCTCTACAAGATTATAGAAGATTAACCCGTCACTCAAAATTTGTACAAAAGCAGCCGCTTCGGTGGCTGGAACGGCTAGGCCATTCTCTCGACGTCAGCCTCGCCGTAGATTGCTCGTCTTGACACGAACTACGTCACGATTGCGTTGGATGTCACGTGGCCTCCGCTGGCTGTTCTACGAGCGCTGTCCAGAGTGGGCCGTTTATAACGAAAAATACAGCCACCAGGCTCAAAATACAAACGTACGATTGTCATTTATGGATATTGTTCATCATATACAACCTAGTTTTCAGCACGACGGGTATATTTGAAATTTCTTTGAAGTATCCCTTTAACACAAAACTCGAAGACTGGAACGTTAACCACCTTAACCAGAATACTCCTTGAAATAAAAGAGCATGATAAACTCGAACTGGTAAACGACACGACCAAACCAAGGAGGCAAGCTACAGCAAGCAATCGAAGTGACCCCATCATCGACGTCACTTTTGCAACTCCAGCCGCAGCCCGCAAGCTCAGCTGGGACACAATGCGGGATGCGTGCGGTAGTGATCACTTTCCGATAGATATTGACGCGGCAATCGGAAGCAACAACCTCAAGCCCAAACATTCCACTCAAACCATAATCTGGTAAAAGTTTGGAAAAGACCTAGAAGAGCAAAGGGACGACTTGCAGCCACACCAGGTTACCGCACTGCTAACGGCAGCCACCAACCTGGCTACTGAAGTAATAGAAGTCAGGGATGACACACCCGAACCCCACTACCCCCTCTTGGCTCTTTGGGAAAATAGAACCAGGGCTTTGGAAAGGTACCGTAAAGAAAAACAAAAGAAACATCTCGACAAGGTTAACCGACTAACCGAGGAAGCAGACAAGTATGCACAACTAGCCACCCAAAGATGGTTGGATTATTGCGAAAACTTTGAGGAGGGCACCAGCATTGGGGATGTATGGAGAACGTTCAATTCTATGCTGGACAAAAGGAAGAGAGTCAGCCCCATCCCAGTGATAGCCCTTCCCTGCAACGAAGTAACAGAGGACATCCTAGGCAAATTGGGGGAAACGTTCTTCGCGGAAACCACACCAAACCAAAAACCAAGATATATGTATCCTAGCATGCTGGACCATGGGACAAACCCCAAGACCTCCCGGTTACCGAGTGGGAACTTGGAGCTGCGATTCACTAATTCCGACCCAAAAGTGCACCAAGCCACGATGGCATCACGGTCGCAATGCTTTGAAACAACCAATTTCGCTTACATCAATCATGTGTAGACTCCTTGAGCGCATGGTGCTTGCCAGAATACAATACAACACAGAAAATCTAGACATCTTCCATCCCACTCAAACAGGTTTTAGGGCAATACTTAGCACACATGACAGCTTATCTATGATCTATAAAAATGTCGTCGACTCACAAACAAACTCGTTATCCTAAAATGCTTCAATCACATATGGGAATCAAGGCAGTTGCCCGAAGAATGGAAGCCCTCCCACGTCACTTCCATACCCAAGCCAGGGAAACCTACTGCGACGGACCTCAAAAACGTACGACCAATTTCACTTACATAAATCATGGGCAAACTTCTTGAGCGCATGGTGCTTGCCAGAATACCATACAACGCGCAAAAAAACAGGCATCTTCCATCCCACGCAAACAGGAATTAGGGCAAATCCTAGCACACGTGGCAGCTTATCTATGATCTATAAAGATGTCGTCGACATGCACCCAGTCAAGAAACAAATGCTGGCGATTGCATCCATAGACATCAATGAGACCTTCGATACCTTCCTACCCAATACTGCTGCGCGGCCGCTTTAAAGGGACCATGACGGCAGTTTCGAAGTTTTATTCGACGATTGAAATGGATGTCAGGCACGTCTCAGATACTGTTGACCAAGTTTTAGCCCGAACAGAAGTTTGGGTGCCGCACCAATCGAGCAAACAGGCGCGGTAATAATAGCGCCGGGAACGATGCCTGAGACCCCACCGAGGCGGCGGCAGAAAGGTGAACTAAAGTGCGCCGTCGAAGCGTGACGACAACGGGCTCCTCGTCTGGCGATTGGTTCAAACGATAGACGCGCTCTTGGTTTCGATTTCGGTGGTGAGATGTGATGAAAAAAGTTTATTTGAACGTTGGATAATCTTTTGAAGTTGTAGTTGGGAATTAATAGGTTTCATACCGTGTATAAAAGCATAATCTGAAGCGATCCCTCCGTTTGTCACTGGTTCAACGCATCCCGCACTGCTACCTCGGGGGGTGCGTAACAAGCATCGAGCAACCATGGACACAAAAAAAGAAAGAAAAAGAGGTACGAGCGCCGGAGGCGGCGGACTTTTGGTTTTGGTTTCGAGCGTCGTCTCGTGTAAGCTTTGCGAACTGGTGTCTCACCAATCATGCCGCGTTTATGTGCAGTAGTAGGTTGCGCTAAAGGTCGGCTAAAGACGTGCGGTCGATCGGACGACGTTAGTTTGCATAAACTGCCGACCGATGCAGCAATGCGCAGCATTTGGTGGCGCGCCGTCGTCTTGCGTAGAGCTGTGGACAGCGGTGTTAGGATTTGTTCGTTGCATTTCCGACCAGAAGACTTTGAGCAGCACCTTCACGTCAGCCGCGGTCTGGGTAAAAACATGAAGTTCCCGCGTCTGAGGAAAGACGCTATTCCCTCACTTTCCTTCCGCAAGGAGCCCACACCACAGCGGCAACGAAGCACGTTCAGTCGGCGTGAGGTCGCTGAACGGGAGCTCAAACTCGTTTGCGAGCGCGGCGTTGTCGTCCATTTCTTCCAGGTTTTCTTCACAGTGTTAGAGCCTCGACATGGGAAACGGGGGACCAGTGAAGGTTTAAAAGGGAGCGTTTAATACACGTCTGGAGGGTACGCCTGCCCAGCAAAAAGAACGGTGCGCCACGCGGGTGGTGGCGCGAGCTTGGGGTCAGTCGTCTTTTGCGAGGGCGCTAACACTCGGCCATCCTGAAATTCAAGTGTCCTCACTTGATGTGTCTTCAATGTCAACATCAAAGGTGTTGACTCGTTGCAGCTTGTCGACGGGAGCTGTTGACGCGTAGAAACGTTGAGTCCGCTTGTGGCCAGGTATGTCTTCAATGCGGTAGGTGTCATTAGAAAGTCGCATCAATTTTCCGTGGCAAGCGCGACTTCTTGTTCTTTTTTTTTTCTTTCTGGAGCCTCTGCTGTTGCTCACGGAAGGTTTGTTGTCGTAGCCGCCGTCGTTGTTTCGGTGCTGGTGATTCGTATTGCGGTGAGATCGCTTCCTTGGTTGTCTTCTTGCCGACGCGTTTTCTCTGTGCACCCGCTTGCGGCTGCCCTTACCTCCTTTATGCTTGTTCGTGGTGCTCGCCAATTTCCTTCGGACTGTCTACTCTGATCTTGAGACTCGTGAGGGTCGTCGTAGGAAATGATGCAGGGCGTAACCGGATTGCCCCTCTTCTTCATGTTGCATTGGTGACCAAATTGGCCTTGGCCTGCGCAGTTGTAGCAGTAGCATTCCTTAACTGGCCGCGTCTTAAAAGGTGCTTGCACGATAGGACCGTCCTCTGTTGTAAGGCGGTATCTCCCCGACAGATCAGGGCAAAGCTGAGGTCCTGTTCGTACATCTGCCGCTTTCCTCGGTTCCAGGAGATCCGTCGTCCTCCGGTTGATGGCGGTTTCAGATACTTCTGAACACCAGGAGCCTCTGGCTGCTACATCGCCTTTTGAAATATTGACGTTGGAACGGGATATGTTCAATATAGGCAAAACCGTATCGCCATCTTCTGTGACGTTGATTGCACAAGCAAGCAAACAGTGTTCCTTGCCTTCTTGCATCCGCAACTGTGCGTCAACAACGATCGCCTTTGCATTCTTTCCTGCCCTTGAATCGGTTGCCGCATCGGATCGGTGGAACGCTTCCCTGACGTCGGTGAGTTGGTCGTCCAAACGTTTGAGGCACTCCAGCAGATCCTCCGGAGTAGAAAACTTGACAACGCTCAGGCTCCGAACGAGCGCTTCGTCGCTGATGCCTGTAATAACATAGTCCACAATCTGATCTTCCGGGAGTGGACAAAGACGCGCCAGGTTCAGCTTCTCATTGAAACACTGTTCGACGGTTTCGTTTGCCAATTTCCGTCTCGCTTCCATCTCTTGGTGCCGGCGCTGCACGTTTACCACCGGTGGAAAAGCCTTTTTCAGCTCCAGCTTCCATTCAAGCCACGAACGCTGGACGCTCACGAGGCCGTCGTACCACGTTTTGGCGATTCCTTCTAGCTTCGTTAGCGCAAAACACGCCGTCTGTATCTCGGTCCACGAGTATATCGCCAATAGTTCGTCAACTTTCCGTATTCAATGTTCAACTGTCTGCACCGGATTAGTGACGGGGTTGAACACTGGTACTAGCTTAACGGACTCTGCAGGTGGTCTTGGGTCGTGCGTGTGCTGGGTTGCGGCACGAAGCAGGTCAGCCATGCCTGCGACCGCTCCTCGCACGGCGGCTTGTACAGCCTCTTGTACAATAGTCTGAAGCCCAGACAGACCACCTGTCGGTCCATACAGCCCAGTCTGGATTGTTGGTAGAACGTTTGCTGGGCTTGCCAGCGGTATTCGTTGCCCCACGGTGCCGATGTCGAAGCGTTCCGAATCATGACCTGCCACGCCATCTTGGCTCGTGGTTGATCAAGCATCGGAACGCATTTTCGCATTTTCGAGGAACAAGGCAGTTCTACTGATGATGATGAACGGCTCCGACAGATTCAAATCCCTGATCTTCCACCACGCTCCCTAGTGTCATGGCCAAGGAGTCTGTCGTGATTCCACCGGACTACGTGGGGATCATTTATCGAACCATCAATGAGTCTGCGGCAGGACACGTCTTTGTTGACGCACAGTTCCGGATGCAAGAAGGCAAGGAACATTGTTTGCCTGCTTGTGCAATCAACGTCACAGAAGATGGCGATACGGTTTTGCCTATATTGAACATATCTAGTTCCAACGTCAATATTTCAAAAGGCGATGTAGCAGCCAGAGGTTCTTGGTGTTCAGAAATATCTGAAACAGCCATCAACCGAAGGACGACGGATCTCCTGGAACCGAGGAAAGCGGCAGATGTATGAACAGGACCTCAGCTTTGCCCTGATCTGTCGAGGAGATACCGCCTTACAACAGGGGACGGTCCTATCGTGCGAGCGCCTTTCAAGACGCGGCCAGTTAAGGAATGCTACTGCTACAACTGCGCAGGCCAAGGCCAATTTGGTCACCAATGCCACATGAAGATGAGGGGCAATCCAGGTACAGCTTACATCGTTTCTTACGACGACCCATGTCGAGGCTCTAACATAATACGGGGCCACAGAAGTCGACTTGCGCTCAGTCGTGGCCGCTGGATCGGGCTTGGTCCATCCCACTTCTGATATGTTAAAGCCTCGACATGGGAAACGGGGGACCAGTGAAGGTTTAAAAGGGAGCGTTTAATACACGTCTGGCGGGTACGCCTGCCCAGCAAAAAGAACGGTGCGCCACGCGGGTGGTGGCGCGAGCTTGGGGTCAGTCGTCTTTTGCGAGGGCGCTAACAACAGACCGCCGTGCACTATATAGAGCGAACCACGGGAACCACACTGAGTGTGCACTAAATCCTACCGGTGCCGACAGTGCTCCCTGACGTCACTTCTCTTTCCACAGGCGAAAAAGGGAAGAAATCTGCATGTTTGTTTCGGTTTCGCAAATTTATTTGCAGGTACAGAAATAAGAGTCACAACGTTCTAGAAAAAATTGTGTGGCATGCCAGGACCCCAATTGACCCCGTAAGTGATGACGTCACAACATGGCGTCTGGGTCCAAACAAACCGTTGCTAGGGGCGGTGCTATGGACTAATGCATGGAGACTCCACATGAAACAAGATTTTTGCTTACAAGTAAGTAAATAATTTTTTGTAAGCAACCTAACTTCTTGATATCTAATTTGAAGATGTTCTTGTCGTCTCAGTGTCGTATTGCAACAATGAAAGCCATTTCTGAAGTATTACACTCCGCTTTGCTTTGGTAGCAGACGACATGATAGATTTGCTGGCCTCTGTTGTAGCGGCCGTCTTCATTGAATTGCGTCGGTAAACAAGCGGCAAAAACAAGTGCATCGCCATGGCCCTAGAAACCTCCTCAATGTGCGTTTTTTTTTCCTGTGAAGAACCCAGCTTAGTTTAGGGCGGTGAAAATGCCGTAAAATCAAACCTCGTCATGCAGATCAGTTACGACGACGACCTGAAGTGCATTACCGGCTTATTGCAGGCCAGCACAAGAAACAAACGGTACGCCATCGAGGTAAGTCGTTAAATATTATTATTGGGGTTGTCAGGGCATGTCTATCGCACTTTGGTAGTAACCATCGCAGCGATGGTTACAACCAGGTTCGAAGCACCCTCGCGTAGCGCGAGTCCGTAAACAAAATTTGGGATCTCAACCGATCGCTTGAAGTGCTTTTCTCGCGGGTGCACTGAAATTTTTTAGCAGACGATCATCTCAATCGACGCCCGGGACTTTCGATAAACCATATTTTGCCTCGCACCCCACTATGAATTCTTATAGGTGTCTGAAACGCCTCATATTTCAAACAAATACAATATCAGAATACCGTCTTTATTCATATGACCCAAACGACGGCGCCGGCTTGGCCGGCCGGCGTGTGGCAGTCGGCATACTTCTTTCATTCGTCGTCTGCTGCAGGCATCGTGACGACCGGAAGTTACAGTCGTGAATATTTCAGAAACAAGCAATTACCGGCACACTTCTGTCGAAACACATATGACATTCAAGCTTTCTATATCTGTGATTTTTAAAAGTTTAAATCCTACTCCCGATTCTTGACCGGTCGGGTTTTCTTAGTGAAACCTAGCCACATGTATTTGTCCATAGCAACGGCCCTAGCAAAGGTTTGTTTGGACCCATGACGTCACACTTACGGAGTCAATGCTTCCGAAAACACCTTCCTAAAAAAAAAATTAAATTGCCTTCCACTTAGTGCTTGAACACTCGTGCATACCAATACCGACCAAAGCGAGGGGCTCGCGCTCGTACCCTTTGTGGTCGGTTCAAGCAAATGTGACACAAGGTATAGCTGCGGTTTGTCATGCCTTGATCCACAGCTAATGTTCAGCACAAAATAGGGACGTGACATGTAAGTATGCCTCACCGAAAAAGTGATTCTACACTACTAACAGGATAACAACGGCAAAAAGGCCTTGCAGTTCTTCAAACTCTAGCGCGAGCTTCGTTTCTTCAATACTACTTCGACGTCAGGTGAGCTTCGAGTATCCATGAGCAATCACATCGCAAAGGAAGACAACGAGCATCTGGTGGAGGCCAGGCATTCGAAAGATACGCTTGTCGTTTCCATTCTGACAGTGTCTAGTGTCGTTAACAATGGAATTGAATCAAGAGACGCGTGGATAAGTTAGAATATGAGCTAGTAAATGATTGATTATAAAGTGCATTTCGTTGTAATGTCAAAATCACATACAGAACTTCATACATTAACATAAAGAGGTACAAACACCAACGCCGTAATATTTCAAAATGAATTCGTAACTGACTTCTTACCTCTCAGGCTAAGAACCCACAGAACTGCGAAAGCAAACATAGCAGTGCTCGCACTGGACAAGTTCACACAGCAAACGATCGATAACAAGCCGAATCACTTGCTCTTTTATTGTTGCGCGATTGGAACGACGTCTAAGCACTTTAACAAACAAAAAAGTACTACCTTTCAATTCTGCATGCTTGCCAAGTTTTGATTCTAGTTCCATGTAATATCCCAAAGTTAATTTTTATTTTTTCAGTCAACCACGATACGTCATAACTGACCTTTTGGTAGTTCCGTATTTCAGACAAAACAAAAATTATATGTTTAGTTATGTGAACACCTTTACTATGGGTCTTTTTTCTCAAAGAAAGACACTTATTTTCCGGGTTTAACAAGCCTGCGTAATTTATAATAAAACTAAAGTTACTTTTCCTTTATACGGAAGTTTGGAAAGGTTATTTGAGTCATAAGAACTATCCCGTACTATTCTCGAAGCAAGAGTAGATGGTGAGTATCTCAACCACACTAAATGAACGTTGGGGCACCTCGCGGTCCGTCATCGGGATCATACTCTTGGCAGCACCGTCATTAGACTTGCTCGAAGTTAAATTTTCTCTCCCCTTTTGTTACTCATGTGTTCAAGTATGTTTATATAAGGCGCAATGAGATAATCATCAAACGTTGGCAATAATCAAAGAAAACTAAAAATATAAACGCTAGCAGTAAGGGTTAGATGTCAGGTCACGGACGACTACCCGACGGAGTTATAAATATATAAATGGGAAAACTTAATTTCTGCCGTTAATTCAAGGGTATAAAAATTGTGTCAAATATGCGGCGCAAAATAAATCAATATTTAAACTCCTAGTAACTCCTGTCAACAGTTAAACAAAAAAACAACAACACTGATACCAATTTGCGAAGACTAAATACGAGCACTGCCAAACTATTTCACTATTGGGAAACCGCACTCTAAACCCGATAATAAAAATTCTACCACCAGTTTTTCAGTGTGGATTCAACGGGTTGGCTCTTTGTCAAGCAACCTTGTGCTCCAATGTCATGTTCGCACTCGAGAAGGTTACTTGTTCGAACTGCCACTTATGTCGGCGTCTTTTTCTGCTGCGTTTCAAGCCGTCCCAGCGGAGGAGTTCTGCTTGTTAAGTAATATTTTATGGGTCGTAGTTTGTAAGTGCCCCTCAGCGATCGCGCACGAAGATTATTGACCCCCTGCTCGCTCACTCGCTCAAGCGCGTCATGGTGCCGAATGTGGCATTCACTGGCGGCCATAGTTTAATCCATTCTTGCTCAGCGCGAGCTTATGGTTTGCTTCCACGAGGTTTCTGAAACGTGCACTGCACACCACCAAGATTGTAGTTCTCAGAAGATTAGTGGGGGCTTGTTCTGGGCCTGCGCTGAGCCTGCGTTCATCGCAGCGAATTTGATTTAGGCAGGCAACTTTATGAATATGCATTAATATTTCCTACGGATGTTTCATATCGTTGAAGCAAAGCAGTACAACAGCGGTAGCATCTTATCTGACTGATCGGAACTGCTCTTTCGACAATTCCAG